GGAGAGAGGCACAGATAATAGATAGACAGTGGAGGGCAAAAGGTGAAAAGATGGGCGTGTTGCTTTGTATTGTACATGTTTTAATGATCAAGTAGGCGTCCCCCCCATCGCTTTGTGTGGCGCAACAGATTACAGTTGTCTCTGTCAGTTATATGTGAGGCTGTCTGGAGCCTTATGATTGCCTTGGCCTGTTATTCCATCCAGCAGCTCAGACAGGCAGGCTGACCTTCTCCTGATGGCTTGCTCTCTCTGCCCAGCCGTCACTTTCACCCCTTTTAACTCTCCTCTCCTGGCACAGCAGTGCCTCTGAGCTTTTAGAGATTACCTTAATGGAGAGAAAAAACTGAATAGCACATGCCTGCTGGGTTATATGTGTGTGTGTGTGTTTTAACCCAGAGCCTGATCGCTCTAAGTGTATAGCAGACGCAAACAGTGAGAGAGCAAGAGAAGAGAGAAGGGGGGGTTATTTTTACAAGTTCATAGTCATTTTTTGGCGCTGTATTCAATGAAACTCAAATGGTTGCCTTCATATCAGCTACGGTAGATTTCAAGATGTGTGACAGCTTGCAATCACTGTGACACAAGTCACTTGTTGCAGTTGGAAAATCAGTAGCGACTGCATTTTACCTCATCTTAACCTTACCTGACTTTTAACCACCCTTGTTCTATCTTTGATAATGCAGCTCACAGTACTCTTTTTACGGCTTATTCATTATGGAGATATAGCCTCTTTCTTGAGTTGTGACCTGCAGGGTTTATAATGTCCTGATTGTTGGGTTTTCATGAGGTTATAGTTAATCCTGACATGCCCTTCTTTCCTTCTGGTTGTTTGTTTTAAGTGTTCCCACTGGAGTGCACCGAGTTAAAATTGCTAACAGCTTTAGGCTTTGCAAATTTCCTTTTGCCTTTAGCCTCAACAGACGAGCCGGATTTGCAATTTGCAGTTTTTTACCTACTTCTGCTTAATTTTACATCTTCCCCACTTTTTCACAGGTTTAATAATCAACTAGTCTGTCCTGCCGCAGCCGGCATTCCGCAAAGAGCTTTGCCTTGGTAGCAGTAAATTAGATTGCCTTTACAGGGAAGTGCTCGCCTTGTTTTCCCAACCGTCTGCATAGGGAGGACATTGAGTTATAAAAATAAATACTTACTTCAAAAATCAAAAGAAGTTTCACTTCTAAAAAATATTTTTGATAGCAACAACAGGGCCAGAGGGCCAATTAGAAGAGATGATTGAGTTTTTCTTAGCTATTGCTACACTTACTCGTTAATTTATTCCCTCTTGCCACTTCTGCTTCTTGCTGTCTGATAATGCACAGTCGAGACTATTGAAAAACACTAGAAAAAAGCATGTGCCAGAGTTTTCAGACACAAAGTAACTTAGAAAATACTTCATACTTTAACTATTTCACATTTCACAGATAGGAAAAATAGCTTTCTTTCCTCCTGAATCTTACTGCCACCTAAATAAGTAGACAAGCAATCCCTCAGTTAGTTACTGATTAACTTGTTTAGCTAGATGATAGCATTTTAGCTTCTTAGTGTTTCACCAGAGTACTTTTGAAAACTAAAGATATCACCTTAACTGTTGGAAATGATAACAGAAATATTCATTTTTTCTGACATTGTGCAGACCAAATGATTATTGATTAAAGGAGAAATGCTCCACATTTATCAATAACTGCATCTCCAAAATACTGTTTAACTGCAAGCATCATGGTTTTTTTTTATGTCAAAAGAATGTTTATTCATATTTGTATCCTCTCAAACAATGCTTATTCAGAAGCCTTAAATTGCACCTGCATATGGCACAATATGTGCAGACTCAAGTGTTTTGAAGTGCCTGTGAAATTAGATTTAGCTATTAAGGAATCCAGAGCTCTGATTATTTGCACCTTGCAGCTCTCTTATCATGCTGTGGGACTTAAACTTCTCATACACCCCCTGCTCTCTCTGACCCACATGTTTAACATCCCGAAAATATAAAGCTGCACAGGCTGCCTCTTCCAAATCCAGCAAAAAGCGAATCCAAACCCCTTCTCCTGATTCTCCATACCATATGTCTTTGCATATGATGAGTAGCAAGTTCTCTTCCTGAGCTGAAACTCCAGCTCAGTGGGTGGCTGTAAGAACACGTTTTCGTATACAGTCCAGAATTTGGTTGTAGTGATAGAGATTAATATTATGCATGTATGTCTCTTAATAGTTTTTGTGGGTGGTTTGGCAAATACCTCATCAGAAACTGAAATTGCCTACATTTAAAGATAGATGAGAAACGTTAAGGAGGATGAGGTGATTATGGGGGGGAAATGACTAGTATGAGCCCTGTTTTTTAAGCAACTTTCTTTTTATGCATAATCTGTAATTTGTAGAAAAATCTTCACTGATGGAAGATGGTTTCAGACTTCATGCATTTTGCATAAACCGGGAGAAACATCACTGGAGTTGGACTGTGCAATCAGGCTGCATTTGTTGTTAGTTGTTTTTTGTTGGGATTTTTTGGACTGTATTATAGTATCTATTTTTCCAGGATTGTAATTTCTTCTCCTCTGTTTGTCTTGTGTTATCTCTCTGAGCTTGCCGCAGCAGGCTCTTTTTATTTAGACAGGTTAATGCACTTGACTGTGGCCTCTATCTTGGTAATGCAGCTCAGGCCTCATTGGGCTCACAGATCTTATCAGTTCTCATTGCAGGTTCCTGTTGTCATTCAAGTCCTCTGTTTTTTAGCTGACCAACATCCTGCAACTTTTCCCGGAGGCGCTTTGTAGTTGCAATTTGGTGCGCTGCAGACCCAGACTTTGTGACAGAAAGTGCTTTCTTGTTATATAGTGTACACTAGAAATCCTCCCCCAACCCATCTTTTTATGTGTGTTTAAATGATGCTGCCATTGCGTGGGCTTTTACAGATTGTTTTGGCTGTCAGGGTTATTGTCTGCCAGCTTATGTGGAAATATATTGGCTGAGAATGACGAAAGTAAAGATGAATAACCTGTTTCCATTTTCTATTCTTACGCTCCTGCCCACACAACTTTTACTCCCGCTGTTTTTAAGATGGAGGGCTTTGTGTACAGCTTTGCAAAGAATATCCACAAACTGCAGTTTGGAAAGTTTTTGGGTTGGATTTGAAACGAGTGTTACAAAGAAATACTGAGTTATTCATTTTGGCTGACGTTTGCAAGCCATTTGACTTCTGCTATGACATAAAATCTTACTAAAACATATGCACAGCCACATAGCATATTGGTCTGAATACAGACCTGATATTAAAGAATTTCCAATTATCTGACATCTGTTGAACTCATTTTGAAGATAGGAAACATTTCTACACTCATCTTGTTTCCCTGAGATACATAAGCCTAAGGAAACTCCTCTGTAGTTGACAGATTCTTGATAATCAGACGTGAAAACATGCCTAGCAAAGGAGTATCATAAAATTATCCCCACTTTTTAAACTTAATTTCCAGGAGAAAGAAAGAAAATCATATACAGGCCAGTTTAGTTGCTTACGCCATCATTCTAGAGAACAACCGTGTAGTGATAATGTCCTAAATGTTTTTTTCCAGGCATTAACCAGCACTGATGCATTATTGTTGTTAAGAGGTTTGAATTATTTAGCTAACAGTTAATAAGGGCTTGCCACCAGTGCTTGTATTTTGCTGTAGATTTAGCCCTCGTTACCCTTAAAACGTTTTCCCATGTGTTGTCTTAACTTCAAGTAAAAATACTATTACTATATATCTAATTATAGTAGATATACTATATATCTACTGTATTTTATACTGGCTGTAATGATGGCACTCGAAGAGCCAAATGTTTTTTGAGGGGGTATTCACTGTGAAAAGTTTCACAGTCAGTCTATAGGACTCTATAAAACTCTTGGCTGTACTATAAATGTTTGCTGATGTTTCGTTCTCTTCTTAGTTTTATGCCTGTCTATAGGCAGCCTAGTGTACTCAGCTTTTCACTGTCAACGCTGCTACTCAGTTGCATAATAAGCCATACTACATAGGCACAGCTTTGCCAGCCATTGTAATGGGGCCCTTGAGTCAGGTCCTTGTTAGCTGATGCACAATAAGCTCCAGCCTAATGAGGTGTAAACCAGAGATCTGGGAAACTGAGAGGGGGCCAAATGAGTATGGCCGTCAGCCTTGGTGTGCAGTGGAGAGCTCAATGCTAATGCTATTAGCTCGGAGGTCAGTCCATTTTGCCTTTTGCCTGTTCAGTTTATCAGCACTTCATAACGTGCGGGGTGGGAGGGCGGGGTGTTGAGACAGCAGTTCACACTTAAGTGCAGAATCTTTCGGCGAACGAAGAGAGTGAGAAATGGGTTCACAATGAATGCACGGTTTGATTGCAGCTGCCATGGAGTGATCACAGACCTTCGGCTCTTAACAGACTCCTTCTGTGTTAAGGTTTCTCCACCAGAGAGCGTCGGAGCCTCCATCTGGCCGGCTTTCTCGTCACTTGTGCGTTCATTAACAGTCCATTTGTTGCTTCTGCCCCGAGGAGCCTCCCTCCGCTGCTCACTTGTTCAGCTCGTGCTAATGTTGCTGATGTGAATTTAATGTACATATGGTGCACTTCATTCAGCCCTATTAAGCCTCAGCACTTTTCATGCTTTTACTTTAAATAATATTAGTTTTTATTATCGAGTTGAAAAGAAAAATGCTTGTCTACCTGCTGACGTTTAATATTTTGTTAGAGTTAAATGTGTTGGAGTTTTAGGAAACATTATTTCTGTGTAAAATTCATGATTGTAGTCATTCACCATTCTGCAAGTTACCGTCAGACACTATTAGCATTCATAGAAAGCCATTTCACCATATGTGAACCCTTATGAATACATCACAATGCATATATAATGCATTAACTTATCGTAATTCAGACGAAGTGCTATCATTTCTTGATAGCCCTTTTCTGACGGTCATGTGTTCTGGTGTGTTTGGTTGCACATCTGTGCACAAACACATATATTAACCTTTGGCATGTTTCTCTTCTAGCCAACGCTGGGGCCTGTTTTCCTAAGCAAGGTAACTTACTGGTTGAAAGGTTCTCTGCTCTTTATCGCACCATCATTCATTCATGATTCAAGTCACACAATTATTTGTGTGTGTGTGTGTGTGTGTGTATGTGTGTAATCGCACTGTCTTCTTCCAACTGTCTCCTTTTCTGTCCTTTTCTTTCCTTCCACCTTGGGCTGTGTTGTCTGTCAGTTAGAGAGCTGACAAAGGCCAAGGGCTGTCAGTTTGAAGCACCTCCTTAAAAATGGACAGCCGGATCAGTACCTTTCAGCAGAGACAGTAAGAATATGTAGAGAAAATGTCTCACGGGGTTATGGGATGGAGGGCATGCTCACACAGATCGACAGGAGTTGGTGAGGAAGGACAAGAACAGTGAGAGAAATGAAAATGCTGTTCTCTTCATGTTCCCATGTGACTTTCAATCACCTCAATTTTCAGCAGTTTGTTTTTCACTGTTTCTCCAAGAAAACAATGAAAGCCACTTAAGATGACAAGCAGGCATATCACAATGGAATATCCAGCAAAACAAATTCAGTTTGAGCTTCTTCCTTTGATGTACCGCAGAAGCATTTTACTTTTCTCATTTTTCTTCCCTCAGCATTTGAAATCAATAATTCTGCAAGGAACTGCTCTGTCCTGGTGGCAAATAGTCTAACATCCCATCCCATTTCTCTCTCTCTTTCTCTCTCGCTCTCTCTTGTACCTTATATTTCCACTCTCCTTCTCTGCTTCATTTGTTTCCACCTATGTGTGCCTGCTGTGTGTATGTACGTCTCCACCTTAAAATCTTTCTGCATGCTTGTGTGGATGATGATTCACCTCTCTCCTGCATACTTCCCACCCTTCTTTCCTCCCTTTCTCCCTTTCCTTTGTCCTCCCTTTCCTCGTCTCTTAGATCCCGAGCGTGTTGGCGGTCACATGATCTCAAGAGATGACCTGGAATATCCACGGGAATACCGGACGCTGGGGAACAATGCTCGGCGCTTCTCCAATGTTGGTCTGGTGCATACGTCTGAGCACCGGCACACAGTCAGTGCGGCGCAGAGCCTGGAGGCCCTGACCAACCTGCACAAAGCTGACATGGAACGCAAGAGGGACGCCTTCATGGATCACCTGAAGAGCAAGTACCAACAACAGCAGCAGCAGCAGCAGCAGCAGCTTCAGCATCCACACCACAGCCCTCACCACAACCCACCGTCGCCCTCACCCTCCCACGCCAGCATGAGGGGTACATCAGAGCGATCTGCAAGAGAACAAGTAATTAATATTAATTTATTAGTTAATGTACTTGCGACTGTTTCTATTTTTCACTTTGTTGCCATTTCCAGAGATACTTCCAAAAGACAACTCAAGCTTGAAATGACTAATTTATTACAGCAGCAGAGCTAGAATTTGGTATCTTAGCCCAGAGAACATCTCTTCCCCCACAAATATCACACACGCAGAAATTTGGGAGTGATAGGGGAGCCAACAGGTGGGTGCAGGGCTCCAGCAGCACTGATTTGTTATAGGGAGAGAAAAGTATAAATACACCATCAAATGGGGACAGTGTTATTGATATACGACAGCAGGACGTGAGTCATGTTACGTTTGTATGACGTAGCGCAGCTCAAGTTGCTTGCCTTGAACCAGCTTGCAGGGTTTTACTCCATTTATGGTGCTTTTTTGGCAGGTGCTGCTTTTAATTCAGGACATACTACTGTTTTCTCAGTGGGTGACATCACCAAAAAACAAAACAAAAAAAAAACCATGCTGTCTGTACACACAGAATGCCCCATTACTTAGGTGGAGTTAAATGGATTATTAAATGGTAAAAAAACAAGCATCTTGCTGGTGATATCAACAGTGAAACGAGCACGCAGTTTGACACCGACCTAGATAGAAAAGACGTGAAAGAGGTGCGTCAGGTAGTTTTGTAGGTGTAACAGGTGTCATTATAAAATGCTTTGTTTTGTTTTACTTCTTGAAGAAGTAGCAAAACTTTACATAGAGTTAAAGATGAGAGATGTCCTCTCAAATTAGCACAAAATGTTGAAACCCTGATTAAAAAAATACAAAGATCAAAGAACCGAGCCGGAGGTGCTGCAACAGGATGCTACTCAGCATGGTGCCGCCTTCAGAAGAGGGGTTCAGACCAGAGCAGGGGTTCTGCTAAGGTGCGGACACATCGAAATAATCTTTCTCCTCTGCTCTCCTCGCTTTTTGTTTTCCCCTTTCTAAATGTGCTTCATGCTTTGACCAGTTTCATGGCTCTCTGTCTCACACACACTACGCAGAAACATGCTCTCTGTGTTCCAGTGCAGCTGCTGTGTTAAAACCGGGTAGATTTAGTGTAATGATGTGACAAGAAAAGCACATCAGGGGCGAAGGGAAAGAATCAAAGAGAGTGACGGAGTGAGCGAGCGAGCGGGAGGGTGGTTGAACGGCAGGTGGAGTCCGTAGTTGCCTTGGTAACCTCTCCCATGTATGGTAGGTGGGGATATCGCATTGCAAAGGTCAGGTTGTGTAGAGAGGGATGAATTGTGCAATGAATCCAGAAGAGACAGGGGAATAATAAGCTCAAGGTAGGTGTTTTTCTCAAATTAAGTGTCAGCCTGTGGAGTGGACAGATCCATAGGTGACAGGGCATTTTCACTCAGGGAAGGAAGCAGCAGAGCCCAGGATTTCTTGTCATCTTGTGGTTTTGCAGAGCATGGACAGCAAGGAAGGAGGGAGGGTGGGAGGAGGAGCTGGAGAGGAGCGCAGCAGCCTGTGAAGCAGCCCACTGCTCAATTAGCCAGCACCAGCAGGACCCAGCCACCCATCTGCGAAGGAGTTAATCGGCTGGTGTTGTAATGAATTAAATAAAGAGTTTCCGCCGCATGTGCAACTGTAGAGCGAGACAGTGAGAGAGGGAGATTGAGTGAAAGAGAGGGAGGTGGGTAAGAGAAGCTCAGGGAGGGAGAGACAGGCGAAAGCACGATGAGGATTCACTGTACCTGACGAACAGCCTGGGATGACTGGAGTGGTGGACAGGCACAGGTGCACTGCAGGTGAGATGAGACTGGAAACTGGAGGCTGCCGCAGAGAGTTTGTGTGTTTGTGTGTTTCTGGGAGGGCATGTGCTCGCTGGGATTAGAGTGCATACCTGTTGTGCTTGTTGTGGTTGTATAGACGGCGTGCATATGCTCACAAAGCAAGCTACACGGGGGCTGATGTATAAGCTGTTCACAGCGTCCTTTGTGTCTCTGTTTGAGCAGTAATTTGCTGATTAATGTGTGCGTTTTTAAGAGAGAGAGACGGAGAAGCTGCTGTGATGTTTAGACACAACACCGGACTGGAGGAGGATCGAGGGAGAAAGAGTAAGAAGGGTTGATTTGAGGGGGGCGGGGGTGCAGAGAGGATGACGACATGAGAAAGAGACAGAGGTGGAGGAGGGGTGGAGCGAGTGCAGCCTGTTTTACATGCAGGTCAGGTAATGCAGCGCTCCACTCTGCGAGACTAAGTCCTTCTGTTAGATTTCTGTGGTTAACCCCAGTAAGTGCACAAACACAAGCTTATGCGTAAATATATAGATGTCTTAACTTTGCAGTGAAAAATGCATTTAACCCTCCAGCCCTAAGTTCAAACATCTATCAGTAACTTTGTCTAAGTGGGGCTTGCAGCCTATTTAATTCAAGTGGAAGTTAAAAAATGACAATGTGTAGATTTGAGCTAAGTAGCAGAGCTACAGTCAAGAGTTACTCTGTCATCTGTTCATCTGGGATTAGAGTGATAACGACTGGCACTATAGGCTAAGGTGTTGAATATGATTTCTTCCCAGAAGATGTTCTTTAATGGCAGTGATTATTGCCTGGATGGAGAACTGCTAAAGAGAAATAATCTACATTGAAATAAGCCCTCTCCAGTTTGCTCTCTCTCACATTCACATTCGAATATTTGCAAATCAAAGTCCAAGTGAAGTGTATCTGCAGCTGTCAGAGCAGAGCAACGGTTAAAGAACAATAAAAATGTGTTTACTTTAGTGTGAGTTAGCCTCATTAAAGCAACAAACAGAGAAACACTGGGAAGAGACAGACACACAAGACCACAAATCACTTCTGCACCATTAAAGCCAAGCCTCTGAGTCATTCAGCTTTGTGGGAAAATAAAATCATTAAGGTTGTCAGAACAAATGAACAGCAATTATTTATGATGCACCGGTGCTGCCCCTGAGCTCCTGTCAGTTCGACAAATTGTCAAGGACAAAACTCAGTGGCTACAGTTAATAAATGATGGACTCATGATCAGGTATTGAAGGTCAGTTTAAGTCCAGTCCTGAAGGATTGTGTATTGGCATATCCCCAAAAGCGACCCACTTTATCACTGACCTTCAATCTCTAACTGAGAGTCTGCTTTTTGACCAGATGATTTACAAATCCAGTGTGTTCCTGTGAACAACGAGAACTTTTTAAAATCATCCACAAAGAGTTTTCTCTTTATTATCACCAATGTTGGTTAATTTAATCCTGTGGACTTTGAAGATGAGTGGTTTTCTATGGACAGCAACAATATAAGGCATTAGAGTTTGGCAGGGGACATCACACCAAAGAGTCATTTTCTCTAGCAACTGCTTTGACATGTTGGTAGAAATTTATATACCACGGGGAAAAAGAAGCGTGGGTAGAGATTAAGCGCCATATAAATTTGCGTCCCACTTGTCTCAGAGCCAGTGAGCCTAAGCACAGTCATACACATTTAAAATTATACTTAGAACAACTCCACTCTACACTAGCAAAACATTACTTGGAGAATAAAATAACAAAATGGCACACAATGCTTTGAGTGAGATTTAAAGGTTTCAGTCTTTCATTTTTTAGGTGGTTAGTTTGTTACTGTTGTTCGGCCCATATCACAGGATTATTAAACCATTTTTGTATTGTATACTGTGTAAGCTCCAAGCAGGTTTTGTTTATATAGTGGAGATGCAGTATAAAAAAAGAAGAGACAAGCACAGATGAACTCAAAGACAGCAGCCACTTCACGAAACCTGAATAATTTTAGAGCAGCCTTCTAAAGCTGTTGTCTATCATATATAACAAAACACAGATTTGTAATGAATGGCGCAGATATTCTGAGCTATGGATATTTTTTCCCTTTTTGGGATGTTCTGGTAGGTTGGTGCAGTCGATCCCAAGACTAATGCTGAGTCCAAACTACATGCTGATTTAAAGATAAGATAAGATAACTCTTTATTGTCATTGTACAGTCATACATAGTACAATAGTATGATGAACTTGGAAAACTGTCGCACGTTGGCACTATATGCAACACAACACAACAACACACAGTAACTTAACTTAGTAATAAAATGAAGAATAAGTCTTTGTGTATTGCACACTGTTATTATTGCACATTAATTATTGTTGCACGTTGTTTTTTATAAATATTATTATTGTTATTGTTGTTCCCCCCCCAAAAAAAAGTCCAGGGAGGTAGTCAATCAGGTCAGCTGTTTGCACTGATTAGGGCCATTGCCCTGTTGTAAAAGCTGTCCTTGAGTCTATTGAGTCTATCGGGACCTCAGCAGCCTGAACCTCCTGCCAGACGTCAGGAAAAGCAAGATTTAAAATATGTTGCAAAAGTCTCAAAATACTTCCAAAACATATTAAATGGACTTTTATTATTCAAGAGAAGTGTACAATCAGTGCAGCGTAGATATCAGGGAAACATGGAAATGTATTTTGATATTTAGCTCCCCCCTCTCCAGCCTGTTTGTGTGTATATACAGTATCTTCTGTCTAAAAAAAATCAATTAAATTTTGCTATTCTGGCAACTTTTTATTTTTAGGTAACCATATAGACATGATTTCCGTGAGTGCTGTAGATGTGGCTGCTTCCAGCTGCTCCTTTATTCACAAGGGACCCACTCGGCACGTTTGATTTGGCAGATTTTTTTTTACGCTGGATGCACTTCCTGACACACCCTCAAAAGGATTTGTCTCCTCCTGGGATGGGATCTTTTGCTTGTTAGATGGCGTGAACCGCTACACCATCGAGCCATCATGTGTGCTATTGATGCAAAAAGTCAAAGTACTGGGAAAAATAATAATAATTCATCATTAGAATAATAAAATTTTAGTAGAATAGCTCTAGAAGTAAAAAGCATTTATTGTCTTTTTAGTGCATTTGTGATTTTTATTTTTTTTTAATTCTTTTTGTTGGTGTGGCGTTCAAGATTCACACTTTAATTCAAAACTGATAATATAAAATAATTATCTGTTCATTTATGTAAAGTAGCTACAAAACATTTAAAGTTTTCCTCTCCTGTTTTCATCAGAGCCATAAAACACCTTGTATACTGACTGAAAAGAGCTGCAAAGGGGGTTTCAGCACACAGTAGTTTACTGCTGCTACCTTCTTGCCCAGGAAACTTTACTGCTTTGTATTAATTTAATTATAGCACTTCATTCTGTGTCAAGGCCAAGCAAACAGTTGCATCTCGATACGAAAAGAGAAGACGGAAGGAAATGGAGTGACAGAAACACCTGAGCTGAAAAAGAGTGAGGGAACACTAAGTGAAAGCTTGGGTTGCAATAAGTTAGTAATCACTGGCCCTGATTCTCGTGTTTACAGAAATAATCTGGCTTTTGTTGAGACTGTATTAGAATGGGAGGCGGGTAATGAAAAACCACCAACTATCATAAATCAAAACTTGTCGCTTAAAAAAAAAAGAAAAAGAAAAAAATTCATCTGCCAGGAGACTAATGTGGGTTCTGGAGAACGGGGACTGAATGGACTGAAAATTGCCTGCAGATAAGAATAAGAACAAGAATAACAGTTTGGATTAGAATTAAAATTCATGGACTTTTGCAATCTTTTTTTTTTTTTAATTTCCATGTCAGTTTAAGGTATTTTGGAGCCATCAGTGGATTGGCCTGGATTTGACTGTGGGGTAATTATGGCTTTATAGAAAGCCAGAGACCTCTGCCAAAATGCGAGCGCCTTTTAGTATGTGGCAGAGCAGCAGGAAGGGCAAATGGACAGATTAGAAATACAGCATGCACTGGCAAAAATAAGCAGGTGAGATTTCGAGGTTCTGATGAAAAGAGCGCAGCTGGTGGATTGGGAATGGATGAGACAGGAGACGGCAAGCGGGAGGCAGAGTGCTCGGTTGCCTGTGGTGGTGAAGTCTGGGAGAGAGGCCAGCGTTGCCGCTACAGAGTGGGTTGCTTGCTTGATTCGATTTCACTCTTTTCATTTCCTCACCTTCACCAGTTACAGCCAACAACGCAATCTTGTTTTAGGTACGCTGGAACCCAGTGCTTGCAAAACACAGAGACCACTTGCATTAACACCAATCATTTAATACTTCAGAGAGCCCTATTAGATGAGGCTGTCAGTAATATTAATGAGTTCAAATGACGCTTTCTGGAGGAAAATGCAAAACTTTTTGTGGCCTGCAGCGTGACTCTGTCTTGTAACTAGTTTACTTTGCTCTGCGCAATATTCTGTTTATATTTAACTTAAGCTATAAGCAGAGACATAAATATCTAACTATTCTCTCTGTCTCCCTTCCTGAAACTTCACAGCAACAGCCCAACTACTGGAGCTTTAAGGTCAGTGCTGCTAGTTCAAGTGTCCCTGTGTGTTTGTCATTTTTCCTGTCCGTTGTGTGTGTTAGTGTGTCCATTTGAATGTGTCTATGTGTGCTTTGTGCTGTGGCATCACTTTCAACCCTCAGGCATCACTAGCCTATCTCCATGCTACTTTGGCTTCAGTATCCAACTCGCTTGACATCTCTTGGCTCTCTGTGCACTGTGTGTGTGCATGTGTGTGAGACTTTTGTCTCTTTATGGGTGTGTGTGTGTGGGTGTGTGTGGTGGCAGAGGTGTCAGGGGGTGGCAACAGCTTAAACTTCTCCCGCTCCATTTAATCTGCAGAAGATGAATCTCTCTGGATTTATGATACCTCAGTCAGCTGGCATTAATGGATAGCAGCCATGTGACACTGCTGACGTATTACTGAGTGAGACATTAAGAATGCATTTCAGATGTGCTACTCAAGCATTACTGAAATAATGCTTTGGCATTAGCACAGAAGCTTGAGTCATGGCTAAAGATGCTAAATGTATTTTATCCACAGGTTTATAAAGGAAAAACATGGGTTATATACACTGGAGAACAGGCAGTGATATTGACTGTATAAATCACTTACGCTGAATTGCTGGCTTGCATGCAAGGTTGTGTGTATCACTTTCTGACTTTATAGATCATAGTGGTAGGCAGGGAGTTGTACTATCTAAATAGAAGAGGTTAAAGAAGGTATTGATATGTGTGAGGGAAGAGCCCAGGGCTTGTCTGAGTTGTACTCTGACCTCAGTCTGTGCTCTCAGCATCATTTGGACCAGGTGGAAATGTCACTAAATATCAATGGCTAAATGCCCTGACCCTTGGGGAAGGGTAAGCAATTTATCCCCTATTCCCACAACTAATTTATTCTGAATAACATGAATTTAGAGTTCTGTCTGTCACATAAATGTGCCACACAAGTAAACGATTTTGAACTCTGCAGGACATACAGGTGGGCTGCCAAAGCTCGGGGGTGTTTGAGGAAGAAAAATAGCATTTGAAACAATCAATTGAACCAATTATGACTTTTGAGAAATGAAATAACAAGACTGAAAGATTTTCTGCAGAAATACTGAGAATGCTATTCATCTGCCTCCAACCCTTTGTCCTCCTTCACTATATCCATGAATCTTCCTCTTTTCCTGCTTGGAAGCTCCACATTCAACATCCTTTATCCATTTGTTACCCAACATATCCACTATCTCTCCTCTGCACATGTGCAAATCATGTCAACCTGAGCTAGCCCTCTGATATACTCATTTCTAATCTTATCCATCCTGCTCATTCCCAATGAAAATGTTAAAATGATGTCAAAATAATAATAATTGAAACTAATAATTATATTTGCATTTGAAAATGTGGGTTCTTGATTAGCAATGAAGGCCATGACATGCTCATCGGTATTCCCCAAAGTCAAGTTGACCTTTAGGGATGTTTAGTTTTTTTCCAACCGTTAATGAGAAACTGAAAGCTGCGTTATACAAACTGTGAAGTGTTTAGAAGAAAAGCTTTAGAAAAAAACTAAAATTAATCAACTCTTCTTTAGTCAAAGTAGTTCATGATTAACATTTTCTTTATCAGTGATTTACTAGAGATTGTTTTCATTTCTTTGCATTTATTAGTGCAAGTTGCTTTTTTGTTATTCACGTATTGTTGTTTTGCAGCTTTGCACTAAATTAGGTTGTTTTAATAACACAGTAGTGAGAAAGAGAGAATTTATTGATTTGTTCCAGAGATGCAGCAGCATTAATATAGTGTCAAATGAAATAAGCAAAATACTCCAAGTGATCATAAATCTAAAGATATCATATATTTAGATTTTAACACAGAGGCTGTTGTTGACATCTTTTACTGTATGTCGGCGCCTCATCTTGTTCAATTTTCTCCATTTTGCACTAGAGCTTCTGAAAGCCATGTCCTGCTCCCTCATGCTATCATCTCTAATCTAAGGCTAATTCTCCCTGAATTACCCTCCCTGCTCAAATTAAACCCCCAAATGGAAGTAGTATAAGGACTGCATACACTCATGGTTTCATCTTTGGCATAAATATGTTTTCCAGGGATCTTATTGGATTGTAGCATGCTAAATATAGACACATTTTTAAGTCTAATTAACAAGTTGTGGGTGACGCATGACTGAACATATCCCTGAAATGAAACTGTCAAAGTTTTAAAACTGCTGTTTCTCTCAGCCAGAAACCCACCTAACACTCTCAGTTATAATATGGTGTCTTGAGGAACACTGCGTTATTATCACTATCTTTTATAAGCAAACCTATTGCAACAACTTACAATTTATAGCAATTTTACAAAGCATTTTGTTCCATGCATTGATGATTCCTGGTATTCTAAAGAGAAAGGACTCTGAGAGTATTGGGGGACTGTGTGAAAAGATGAAAAGCTATAATAACGGAAAAAAGCAAGTAGAGCCAAATGGATGTGAGAGATGGATCGATTTAGGGGGCTGTTTTCTCTCCATTTTCTAAAAGTGAGAGCTGTGAACTTTTTTTTGTGTGGGAAAAGAGCCAGGTTGTGGGTGGAGGAAAAACATTAAAAATGCTCAAGATGTAGACAGAAACAACACGAGAGATGTACCTGGATGTGGCTTTGGCCTCAGAGACTGAGGGGGAAGCAGATATGTTCACACAAAGCAGTCGAGTAAGAATTAAAGGAGGACACATGAGTGACAGGGGATAAAAGGTGGGAAATGAGGACATATCACTGGAGGCTAAGACACACAGAAGCATCCAGGGAAGATAAAGATATTATTAGGAGGGGCGAACAAAATAAGCTGGTGGGGGGAAAAAAGTATGAGATGTGGACAAGGTGTGAGGTTTGCAATTTAAAGATTTTACACCTCGGGAACCAAAGGCTTCACTCACATCAAGCTGTGTTTGGCATTTTTATATATAGTAATTTTCAAATCCAACAGAATTTAATGTCACTTAAGAGGAGAATTACTGCTCTTGCAGAAAAGATTAGAAAGAGGCTGGCAGCAACCATCATGTAATAAGCCAGCCTCTGGTTTTAGACTGTTACAGCAGTGTTCAGCCATTTTCTTGTCTTGTTGGATGCTCAGCTGTATCGTAGCCAATGCCGACACCTCGCACATGAACTCCTCTTAACTTAAGCTTGTGCATCACACGGTTCATATTTATTCACATTCTACATGTTATGTTATGAGCAAGAGGAAAATAGGAATATATAAGGACACAGAGAGTTCAAGTTCAAAATATACTCCAGAATTTTTAAAACAAGCTCACTTCACTTTTATGGCCAGATCACTGAACCTTCAGGCAGTTAGTTAATCAGGCATCAACCACCTCAAACTGAGCACAATATCAGAAAACAAGTTCAGGGTTTAAATTAAATGTAATCTTCACAGAGAGATAACTTTGCAGATGCATTCAATTTTTGATCGCCCCAGAAGTATAATTACAGTATGCCTGATTAAAACATTCTGTGACTGAAGTGAAGTTCACCATTTTTATTGAAGAAGAGATAAAAAATCTGACAACTAGTTTGCAGTCTAAATAAGACGACCCTGAAGTACAAGATGGAGTTTGATGAGAAATGCTCCCCCAAACATAGAAAGCCATATACCAAGGCTACAAGGCTTTTGACCTTAAAGCAGAGTAGACCATTGTGTGTGTGTGTCTGTGTGTATGCACGCATGCTAGTGTCTACAAGCAAGAAACAAGAAAAGACATGGTGGGAGGTTGCAATGAGTTTAATGCAGTTTGTAGCCTTAGGTTGCCTTGTCCCACTTTCCACTCTATTCACATGTAAGATCATCCTGTTCTCCTCTTGTTCCTCTCTTCTGCAATGCCCTTATAGCAGTGTGGAGATTGCAACAGTAATTGAGTGCTGTTGGAAAAATTCTAAAAGAAAAGGTTGAGGTGTAGGGAAGGGGGTGGACGGTGGGAGGGTGTGGAGGAAAAATGAGGAGGTAAAACCAGTTTTCCTCAAAGGCTGTGAACACCGTGATGTAACGCTGGCATTTCTAGCAGCACCAGATGCATGACCAGATGGTGCATTCACATATATTATTTACAATGCAAAATTACCGCAGTGAGACATTTTCAGTTTACATATCACATAAACCACCAATATGGAAGTCAATGTTTGGGGACTGTTGTAATAAGACGATCTGAGTAAAACCACATGTAACAACAGCGGCAGTAATCTTATACCCAGTCATACATGGGGATTTCATTGTCTTGTTTTTGCAGCATGTTGAAAGGAGTTGCGGAGAGAATAAAGGGTGAATAAGGAGGTAAATTTGGGTTTAAAAAGATGACAGGAAAGCTAGTTCAGACATACAGGATCATACTCTCCCATTTCCATTTCCTAGAAAGCTCAGTGGGTTATTTCGCTTTTAAATTATATTCTAACAAGGACAGCTAGAATGAGTCAAGCTGTAGTTCAGAGTTGCTCATATTCCCATTCATAGAAAAAGCTGCATTTCTTTGCCAAATCAGCTCCTGGGTGTTACTTTTACTGAGTAATATTTCATTTAGACGGCTGGTTCAGCACCTGTTCTGTGTTGGCTAAACACCTGAATTTGTTAAGCACAGAGTCCAAAAACTGCTTTTTATCATCCTCCTTCTTTATTGGCATTTAGAACGTCAAGTGTAGTCTACAAATAGTCTAGCAAAAATTAACATTAAAAAATGTAATAGTTAGGAAATATGCTAGAGTTAGTTGAGAAGATTGCTATCCGTCTCATGTATGTAAAGTATATATGAAAACATCACTATCAGTAGCACACCTCACTACGCTGGTTCATTCTAAAAAGTAACAAAAATCTACAAATCAGTACCTTTTAGCTCAGTAAGTAACCTTTTTACTGTTTAGCCTGTAAAGTGTAAAAATTACAACTGGTTATTTTGCCTATTTTGACGTAAGGTCATGTATAAATAACTCCAGCCTACATAGTAGTCTGGCAAGTGCACGAAGCCCAAGAATTATACTGCTGTTACCTCAGAGCTGGGATGACTGTTCACCAGTGTTGCCAGTCTGCTAATCATAGCTTCTTAGTTAAGCAGAAGACTCACATCAAACAGCTTGTATAACACCGAAAGCACGTTTCAACATTTCAATCACAACTTTTGCTTCCTAAAACAGTGGAAACGTAAATAAAATCTCCAGGGTTTATTTTGATCCCCCAACCCTCCTCACCCCTTAATGTCCCTATGTAGGATGGTCTGGCCAGAATGAGGCAAGCTACAGTGTGGGCTCCTCCTCCTCCTCTGTGATGCTGTTGGCTGTGTTCCTCGGTGTGGTCACAGCTTAGATAAATGACCCTATTAGAAAACATGGTGTGGGTTATCTGTCAGCATCGCAGTTTCTCAGTGCACTCAGACACTGTCTGCCGCTACCATCACTGGTTTGGTTCACTGTGTATGATTGCGTGATTGAATTATGTATGATGGCGGCAAAAGGAATGTAAGGTTACATTATAAAAAATGGTCGTTGGGATTTTTAGTCTTGCTGCAGGTTTGTAACTCGTCTTGTAAACATACACGTGAATGCATGCAGCAGCTAATTAAAAGACCAAATTACCAATGACTGCAGTACCTAACATGATATAAGGTCCCATATATTGCTGTTTGGTTATTCCATTTCCTACTGGAATAATTACTCGATTCCCAGAAGTTTAATAAGTAAAAAAGATTTATCTCATTGAGTTGCATGAGTACTGCAACGTTTATTATCATTTGCATCTACATATTAAGGATATCTACTAAAGCTAAAGCTAGGCTGGTGTTCACTTGGAAGTGTTGGACAAATTGAACTATGATCGTCGGTGCAAAATTCTGTAGCAATCGATCTAAAAGCTGAGTATGCACCGAGGTGGTCGATCGACTATCTGACAGGGTGACATTGCCATCCATTGAACTGTGCCACCTGCAAGGCTAAAAAAAATTAATCTTGTGCTACATTCATTTTGCCCACTGTGACAGTATATTGTCACATGCTGCCTTTTGGTAAAAACAAAACCCACCCTTTTGAAATTCTCTGTCTGGGATATTGAGATGGATTTCTTCCCTGCTATTTTTTCATTTTACTGATTAAGTAGTTAATTGATTATTTTGAAAAAAAAATCCATATTGAAAGTATTCTCTGTTTGCATCTTTCATTTCTTGTTCAGCATGCTTTCCTGGCTTATTACCCAATTAACAAAACCATAAATGGATGTACAGTGGTTGTGTATTCTGTGCAGTGCTGTGTGTTTATGAATGAATTCAAACAATCCACTGCTGAGACTTAATGAGCGCAGATATGGCCCTCCATATTGCTTCTGTCAGTATCCCATTAATTAAATACCACATTAATGGAAGGAGCAGTAGATCCATGCTGCTGCTTGACTTAGGCAGCGAAAGGAAGACAGGGAAATTCTTAGAAAGGACTGTTCTAAGCGAGCAGAACGACTGTTGTGCTCGTGGTTCAAGGAGGATGAGACAGGAATGGCTCCTGTGCTGTGGCCAAAGATGCATTTGCTTTTGCCGTCCAAACAATGAGCAGACAGCATTCTGGGAGCTCATTACAGCAGCCTCTGAGCTGGAGGAGACTCTGCAGTGGTGGGGGATCAGAGAGACAGTTCAGTGAGCTCAGCCCCAGCTGCGCTAACAGTCTTTCAGTGAGAGACGCCTGGGCATAGGCCAGCAGGATAAACCCACAGTGACAGCCTGGGATTTGCATGAGCTTCTCCTCCCATCCCACAAGCATTCATTTAAAGTTCGTAGCTGCAAACGGACAAGTTTGTATGAGAGCGTGTGGGAGGTGTGCAAAGTCTCACTAACTTTTTCTGAGTTTCTGCTTAATACGTCTCCTTACAAGTGATTCATAAAGGCTGATGTCCTGGCATTCTGTGCCAACTGAGTACAGCTATATAATGTTTTGTTGCTGCACCATTCAACTAATGTCAGAGACTGTGACGCCAGTAATTCTTTGTAAATGGCTGCTAGCTTAACCATTGTCAGGGCTTCAATAATCTTGTTAGGTGTTTCATTGTGTGGTGTCTCACTGTGTGCCTGCTTTCTGTTTTCGAGTTGTTCTTACACCACTAGCCCCGTCCAATCCATTCTTTCCACTTCAGTTTCACTTCACAGTGAATTAATCTGTCCCTTTTCTCTCTGTAGAGCCGCAGTCCACGCCACTCCCAGTCTACCCAGTCTGGTCTTGCCGACCAGGCTGCCAAGCTCTCTTTTGCCTCCGCTGAATCCTTGGAGACTATGTCAGAAGCCGACATCCCCATTGGGTTTAACCGGATGAACCGATTTCGCCAGAGTCTGCCGCTGTCCCGCTCAGCCAGCCAGAATAAGCTACGATCTCCAGGTTAAAATCACTGCATACCAGCTGGACTCAAGGCAGCTTTCTCTTTACCTCATGTAGCTGGTGAAGGGAACCACTGTGCTTACAAGGAATTGAAGGAATTGTGTTTTATTCACACTGAATTTACAGTCTTTAGTCTAATTGACCTGCTATAAAAATGTACAGAACACTCAAACCTGATAAAGTATGACTTTGTTTTTCAGTGTCGATGCAGTACGCTCCCTGTGAGCTCAAAAATGTCTTGTAGTTTTTAGAATGCAACAAAAAAACATAGATATTTTTTTCTTAGGATAGGTATTTTAGTGACATTTCATTTAACTGTAACAGAGTTCATACTGTACTGGATTAAGTATATCCTTGTGTGCAAGCAGAACATTCGAGGACAGTTTTATATTAAAAGGGCCTTGGGAGTGTAGAGAGGATTAATGTGAAGGTGGTGCAGATTCATGAAGAGCAAGGTGTGGAGTTACCTTGCGCAGGTAAAAGAAGTGGGTGTAAAATTAAAGAGCTATACCTGATTAGGGCATTCCTGAATAAGAAGTTCAAGCAAAAGTGGCACACCAGGCTTGCCTGTCTCCCCTGTCTCTACACTAACTACTGTCTTTGTTTTCTTCTCTTCCCAACTTGTCTGCAGTATTAACTGACACTTAATTTTGCCTGACTTTTAACTCTTGGTCTTTCTTTGCTTTGTTTGTTCTTTTTTGTTTGTCCCATGGTGTATGACTTTTTGTTTGTCCCATGGTGTATGAAGATGAATTTTCAGGTTAGTCAGGCGTCAAACACATCTTTATTTATATGATCGTTGCAGAATCTGCTGAAAGCTTTTTATGAAGTTGGGATGTTTTGGAGTTTAATTATTCATAGGTGGGGCAACTAATACTCAAAAAGAAAACCTTGCAAAAAATTCAGCCTGTGCATGCATCTTTGTGCATTATCTGTGAATTCTCAACTAGCTCTCACAATCCTAATCTAACATTAAGAAAATAAGAGTGGGTTTGGTACTCATTTAGCCATTAATCATGTTGACATCTGATGAGAAAAGTTATCTAGATTTCGTATCTCAAGAGTCAGAACATTTGTATCATTTCAGCTGCAGCCAACAAAATGTCTCTGCTAGTTCTCTCCATCCACTAAAGCCAGCATCTTCTGACTCAGCCACCTTCTCCTTCATCGCTTTCTATTAGGCGTGCTGTTTCTGCAATATGGAGATGAGACGCGTCGGGTGCACATCACCCATGAGCTCACCAGCCTGGATACGCTGCATGCTCTCATCGTGCACATGTTCCCTCAGAAGTTGACAGCAGGTATGCTGAAGTCACCCAACACAGCCATCCTGATCAAGGACGAGGCCCGTAATGTCTTCTACGAGCTGGAGGATGTCAGAGACATTCAGGATCGCAGCATCATCAAGATTTACCGCAAAGAACCCATCTATGCTTCTTATCCCGCTGCCGCACACCTGGCCAACGGGGACTTGAGGGTAAGCAGAATGGAACTGGGAGGTGAAAAGGCCAGCCTGTTTTCTGCTATTTCACAGAACAAAATTCTTGTCTGATCTCTGGCAAGTTTGACAACTGAACTGTCAATGAAAACTATAATTGGGTGCCTTTTTGGTAAGGTAATAGTGCCTTGTTTTATTATTTTTATTATTTTAGTGGTTACTTTGACTATTACAGGCTATTACAGTATATTCGGGTTAGTAATTTAACAGGTATTCCTCCTGGAAATGTATTTTCTTATCTTCAAGTAGGCCATCTGTTGCTGTGCAGACACCAGAGAACAATGTTCCTGTGTGAAATGAGCATATTTTAACATTCAAAGCTATTTCTGCTTCAGTAAAGATCAAGGGAGCCTGAGGGAGATCTTTTTTTAGTTTTTTTTTTATACAAAACTCTGCTTACAATCTGCATTATTCACAAAATACTAAGAATACAACTCTTGTTAACCATGCAAACAGAGAATGAAAAATGATTTCAGTGCATGTACTGTGCTTGTTTACGTAAACATTTTATACAAGAAGTTGACATGGAAAAAGAGGGGAAGGGGTGGCCAACGAGTATGTGTACACCACAAAAACATCAACAAGTATCCACATAGGCCTAAAGACCAGCTGGTGACCACCTGGCAACCAGTTGGCAACAGTTGATTAGGAAAAATAAGTATTCCTTAGTGGTTGCCAGTGGTTGTTCACAGTCACTGTGAAATCTATTGCTAAAGCCCCAATCTTGCAGGCTGGAGGTAGTTTTTACTGCACTTTTTAAAGTTTCAGTACCTCTCAGTGGTTAGTTAGTGTTTGCGATTCTTGGTACATCCAGTTTCTTCCACTGAAAATCAGAAACCACTTGTCAACTGGTCAGGGAATACAGGGTTTGGCTTAGTTTTAATGCCATGGTTTTTCAGTGTATATAAATAAATTTATCCCTGGTTACAAAGGCTAAACATCACAGATTACTCTGTCTTTGTCTAATATATTCTCTGCAATAAACTGTTTGCTATGATGCTGAGAATGAATGAAAACAGGAATGACTTAAGTTAGAAAAGTAGATATGCGACTAGGAAAAGCAGACTATTTGACAGTTAAAAGGTTCAGAAATTAGAAAAATCACAACAGGAGTAAATTAGCAGCAGGGGAACACAGCCAGAGGTGAAGTTAAAGATAGCACTGGGGCATGTTTAACAATAATATACTAGACAAAATGCAGGGAAGAAGAGCTCAGTGAAGAAACGTTCAGAGCTTTTCAGGTTGAATGAGCTTTTGCATCATGTTATCATCCTGCTGTAGATAAAGATACAGATTTAAGACTACATGGTCTTGTTTTGCCTCGCAGATTCTTTCCATTTAGAATAGACACAATCAATTTTATTCCTTTTATCATTAGTCTAATAAACAAAATCACAGGCAGCATCTCTGATCTCTTCCATTGGACCAATAATTTGTCTCGTTGTTTAACAAATTTATCATCATATTTTGGCATCTGCAGATCCTGACACCTTGTCTGGTGTCAGCCAGATCCAAGTCATAGCCATAGTCATTATAAGCATGGGAATCACAGCACACTCATCTGTTGGTCTCCATGGTAACTCTCATCCCTCTTTGTTCATTTCAGAGGGAAATGGTCTACTCTTCCCGCGACTCCTCCCCAACTCGCCGCCTAAATACCCTTCCTTCCTCCACCGCCTCAGCATCCTCTGGGTCTCCTTCTCGCTCACGCCTCTCCTACAGCGGGGGCCGTGCTCCATCCTTCGGTGGATCCCATCCCCAACATGATCAGCCCCGACACCCACACCATCCCTCAGCCGGCCATGGTGCCAACGCAGGTCTTTCCCCTTCACCTAGTGCCATCCTGGAGCGCCGCGATGTCAAGCCTGATGAAGAGGTTTCTGCTAAAAACATGGCACTGATGAAAAATGAGGGGCTATATGCCGATCCCTACAGCTTGATGCACGAAGGCCGCCTCAGCATCGCTTCCACCCAGTCATTAGCTGCGATCGGAGACCCCTTTAGCTTCCCTGTTTCCGCTGGCCTGTACCGACGTGGCTCTGTGCGCTCCCTCAGCACCTACTCAGCTGCTGCTCTCCAGGGAGACCTGGAAGACTCGCTCTACAAGCCTGGAGGTTCACTATACTCAGACACATACTCTTCTGCCACTCTGGGCATGGGATTTCGCATGCCACCGTCATCCCCACAGAAAATCCCTGACATGCAGCTGAGGGACAGGGACTCTTATTCCAGCACACCCAGAGCCTCACCTGTCAGACAGAGTTTCCGCAAGGACTCTGCCTCTTCTTCTGTGTTTGTGGAGAGCCCGAAATCCAGGCCCAGCTCCAGTTCTGATCCTCTGTGTATAACAGCTGGACCTGGAGAGGGCAGCCGCACCACATCTGGTTTTGGGTCTTCGTTATCTGGGCAAGATTCTGACAGTAGCAGGTCAGTAAGAATCAGTGTGAATGTTTTCCTGTTTTTATTCATGTATTTTATTGTATCTTCTGATGCAGTGTGCATCAGGGGAAAAAAGCAAACAAACAAAAACAAAACCCTCAAAGTTACATATTTTCTCTGCCTGATAAAATTTTACAGATATTATTAATTCATGTTTAACAATCTTCTATTCAAATTTGCATATTTCACACCCCTAAGAACAAATATTTTTCTGTTTGCAAAGAATTCCAAGTGTTTTTTCAGCTCTTCGTTTGTGTTGAGTTCAGGGTTTTGTTTCACAGATGTGCTATTTGTTATTTTCGCAGGGATCATCGCCTGGAGCGTATGGAGGCCATGGAGAAGCAGATAGCCAGTCTGACTGGCCTCGTCCAGAGTGTGCTGACCAGAGCACCAGACAGTGACAGCACGTAAGACTCTCCATTACAGCCCATTAACCCTCTGAAAGTCACAGATACAGCATTAGTTTGGACACAAAAACAGGATGATCGACAGGATTATTATCTATTATGAGAGCCATTAGAAGCTCCATAGCTGTGAAGTGGTGCATTACCTTGTGTGAGCACAGCACAAATTCAGAGCACTAAACATTAGCCACAGGGCACAATGCTGATCAGTGCACTGATAAATACAGACATCTCCTAGAGTCTTTCAGTAGATTTTGATTCCTTACACTGACCATTGTTATCAGGGCACTTTACTCTCACATATGCAGTAGACTTCATTAAAAAGGTGACAACTTGTTAATGTAATCAGTCTGATAGTATCCAGCACTGGTGCTTCTAGTAGTTAGCACTGTAATTGCCTTGCCCTGTGGCCGTTGATCCTCAGATGTGGCCTGCTGCGTCTCTGCATGATGGCGGGCTGCCCTCCAGACCAAGGGACGGAGTTTTCACGGCCATTACCTTTCTCTTCCAGCGAGAAGACCGAAACCAACAGTGATGGCTCCGCCACTGGAAGTGAGTAAAGCAGCGTAATTGTTACCTGTGAACCCAACCGTTACTAACACTTTCTTTCCTGTGCTGTTTAGAATACTTTTATGGCTCGATTTCCCTGCTCCCTGTGCACGCACCCGAATGTACACAAACTAGCAATGGCGGTGACTTCCTGGTTTAAGACTAATATATGCCAACTTGGTAACTTTCTTACAAGAGGGCGGATAAGAGGTTAAGTTAAGAAATGTAGCATTGGTAATTGTTTGTTTGGAACTTTTAGTTCTACTCCAGCATTGTTCAAACAATGTGTTAGCTATCAAACTGCATGTGAATATGTAGTTATACAGTCTGACCCTGGAACTTAAACATGTTTATCTACATAAACAGTAATAGTGTCCTGTCCCAAGCAGAATTCAAAGAATTTTATTTCATTTTTGCTCTAGTGGGAATGTATATTGACATGTTAATGGGCCAAATATAGTGCATAATACACTGAGTCAGATGAAATATCTTTAATAAATCAGTGGTATGATAGGTTATATGGTAATACTTCCATGTATCGTAAATAGCGATCCTACACTGGCTGTGCATTTTTTATTATAAGCATTGCAAATCTAACAGCAGATTTAGCTTATGAAGTCATAATAATTCTCATGGACAGTTTTTCTTCTAACTATCCAAAACTAACTGCATTACGCAGGAAAACTTGCCAGTGTTCATTTTAATTGAACCAAGTGAGTTCAGTGTTAAAGTCTCTTTGGACACTCTCTGAGACATTACATTTCCACCTCCTTCATAGTTCTTTTTTCTTTTTCTCTTTGACTGTCTTTGCTTTTCTGTCGCTTCTTAAGTGGAAGAGTTTAATTTAAAATGTCTAATATATCATTTGATAATGAAAATTAAGCATCAAATCAAGCATCAAATCGGGTTAATAGAATTGTTAAAGCTCGGTCAGATGAGAAAATTACTCTTTGGTTCTTTTGAGATTGTACCGCAAAGTTTTTTTTTGCATTGCTAAGTACAAATACAGGAAAGCAGAGGCGAAATGCTAGACGGATCTGTCAGAGATTGAAAAATATACCTGGTGACAGCTCGTGAAATGTGTTAAATAAACTGAGATGCCAAATTGTAAACATAACCTCCAGAAAGAGGAAATAAGACAGCTTTGAAGTCTTTGGAAGGTTTATTCCTTCACTTGTGACTGTCTCTGCTGGCGGCATGTAAATTCAATTTTGTGTTCAAAGGTATTTTTCAAAATATCAGATATTCTATATAAGAAATAAATATTTAATCATAGAATTTGTTAAATACTGACAGGAGCTTTTCAGCTTTTGTACCCCGATAGGTACACTGGATGCATCCCTTTGATACTGTACAGTCATTCCTGTCTCTCCATAATTTTATAACCCTGTTGTCTTTGAAGCTTCCTCATGCATTGGATCACTGCCATAAGACTTATGCCATCATCACAGCCATTGTCTCTGCTATAGTCAATAAAATGTTCTCCGGGATCACCATTCTGTAAATCTAAACTTTCCTCTCCCTCTTTGTCTCTCTGCTACTCATTAATTTCTTGGTAACTGGCTCACTCTTTCTATATTCCAGCCGGACGACAGAAGAAGAAAGGTAGTTTCCATCTCCTACTCTATCACCCTTTTACTCCTTCCAGACATTTCTCATTGCTCCCTGACCTCTGTATGGGTGTGTGGTGTTGCTGGGTAGCTGGCAGTGTATATTCTCCTATTTATCTCCTGGTTGGTTTCCCAGAACGCAGACTCCCCTCGTTCTGTCTGTCTCTACTTTTTAAATTTCTGCTTGGTTATTCCTTTGCGAATTTCAGAGGTTTGTTCTGGCACACAGTGGAAAACTCTTTTGTGAGGGTGTGTGAATATGTGGTAGAATATCTGGTGGGTCAATGACCATACTCACAAAGGCCTATGTTCAGATAAGAGCATGGTTATCCCTGTGTGTCACTGCTGAATAGACTAATTGCACTTCTCTATGGGTTACTAATAGCATGAGCTCATATTTCTCCCACTGGGCAATTAGAGTTTTGTGAATATGGGACTTTTTTGTATTCACACACTATATCCTCTGTGTGTGTGCGCCCAGAGTTTCTGTATATGTAATTTTTTTGGCCTTTATGGCAAGTGTGTATTTGTGTTATTGTTTTACTGTGTGATGCTGGCTGGCTGCAACTCTCACCGGAGCATAACCCAACAAACTAACCGCTTTGTTTCCCAACGACCTCCCGGTGACCCCCGTTTCCTGCTCTGTGATTGGCAGCAAATACACCGTCGGCACCTCTAGCTCTGATGCCGCCGCCACCTTCTAACTCAATCCAGGTGAACAGCGTTGGTCGCTTGCAGATGCAGCTCCATCTTCACGGTCTGCAGCAAAACGCCAGCGACCTGCGCAAACAGCTCAACCAGCTACGCAAGATCCAGGTATTTAATATCCACGATTAAATGTTTTTAATTGGTTTGTCCTTTCAGATTAGAAAACTGGTTATTGTCTAGCTCTACGAACACCGTTTGTTTTCCTAAATATACCTTTGATATTTGAGTTTATATTTAATGTTTCCTGTCTCATCTAAATGATTATCGTAGCTGCCAATGGCACTCTGTGTTTGTGAACCGAGCTCTCTGTGGTTGTGTAATGAATCCCACTATGTAAGAACTACATAAAATTTATCTGGACACATCTAGTCCTCCTCCCTATGGAGGAAAATAATGTTTTCTTTCATCTTTTTTGTTAGTTATATTGTTGTTATTGCACAGCAGAAAAACAAATGCATATAAATATGTAATAAGGATAAAAAGAAACAGACATCTGATATTAATGCGATATTTTGAAATGTAAATTCACTGTGACAGTGGTATAACTCATCAAAACAAATTGTAAAAGGTGAACAATTATTAACACCCCCACCTCTACCCTAATAACATGCAAATGGTTATTTGTATTTGTATGTGTTGCTAATGGCTTTGCAAATGTACGCTCTAAAAAAATCAGCAGCAGCATGCCTCGCCTGAGACACTTTACTGATGACTCTGCATATTACACAGTCTTGTGAGCAGTTGTTATTAACAAGTTTCTACTGAAGAAGTAGTCCTTAGGAAGAGTGTTGACAGCATGCTGAGTAGATTATTTAGAGAAACCAGGACACTGTTTCTGGGTTGAGATAAACCCATTTTTTACTGAAGCGAACTGGCATTATCTTGATCAGCGTGAATGATGTGCTAGTAGCATTTGTTTGGAGCATCCTTTTCCGTTTCGCTCCTTAGACCTGTCGAGATAGATGCAGAATTAGACAGAAAGCCACAAGAAGAGTTAACCAAAATGTGGAAATTAAGTCCTTTCTGTCTGAGTTTCATTTATCTCCGCTTGAAGTGGTGCCATGGTTACTGCAGGAGGAATTAGAAAGAGATGAGATAAATGCTCTCACTTTCAGAGGAGTGAAGTTTCTTGCAGGAAAAGGAGTGAAAAATTGAGTAATGGAAGTGAGAGATGATAGGCATGTGGTGCTTTTATTTGTTCCGTAAGAGCAGTTGCAAGGCTGCTTTCAACTAGCGAAACAGTGAGATGGCGAGCCAAACACCAATGGTTGTGATGCACCGAAGAGAGAACAGTTTGCTGTTTGCGTGTCAGTGTGCCCAAGTGTGACCTCTGCACCTGGGCCTATATTGCCGCCCGTGCCGATGGCCAACAGCTTTAATTTTACATGTGAATGAATTATGCAAGAGGGTAAAGTAGAGACAGGCAACTGAGCAAGACAGAGGCAGCAGAGCATGCTATTTCTCTTGATGCATTAAACATTTTTCTTTAATGTGTTACTGTACTCCTTGCTTTTGGACTCATGCATCTACATCACTGCTGCTGGCAGTATATCAGGGAATACTGGGTAATTATAAATGTTAGCGATATTGTTGTCTTGCTTCACTTCCTGGAACAAAAGAATAATCAATTATTAATTTTTTCTTGCTTACTGGGTGATTTCATCTTGGGGAGTTGTGTTACATGCATAGTCCTGTAGAATATTCCTTTCATAACACTGAAAGCAAGTGGAGTTCATGCTTGGTGCATCTGTTTCATTTTCCTCAGGGTATTTCAGCCCTCTGTGTTTAGAACAATATTGTGTGCACATGCTAATGCAAATACAGACAGCAGAAAGTGAAGTATTGGCTGCATCTCAGAGTGGTTTTAAGAACATATTGTTCATTACATCATGAAGGCTAAAACTCACTAATATTGACTGGAAAATTAATATACATTAAAGGACAGAGTTAAGTGTTCTTCTCATGTGGAAGGTCATGGAGTAAAGATGCCAGAGAACCTGACCCCTCAAGGACAAGGTAGAAAAAGGTGTGCAGTTGTTGCAAATCACTGAAGTTTTCATTGTAAAGCCTTAGTCAGCTCCAGTTCTCCTCCTTAATGCGATAGTATTTTGTGATAAATGAAATAGCAGCTTTCATAATGCCAGCAAGCAATGCTCCAAAGACCAAGAAGGCTAACATTCCCACAGCTAATTTCCAAATATTTGCTGAGTGTACGTGTATTTCTGTGATGTTGTTTTTTAACGTGTGGCTTTTTTTTTCATGCAGCTAGAGAACCAGGATTCAGTGCGAACGCTGCTGAAGCGGACAGAGGCGGAGCTGAACGTGCGTGTGACTGATGCCCTGAGGAAACAGGAGGATCCTCTCCAGAGGCAGCGCCTCCTGGTGGAGGAAGAAAGACTCAAATATCTCAACGAGGAGGAGCTCATCATTCAGCAACTCCAGTCAGTTACAGTACACGATTTGTTTCTTGGCAGTGCAGTGTATAACAGTTGTTGAGCAGTACACGCTTGATGATAGAAACCAGTGATAATTTTAAAAAAAAGGGGGTTTCCAAATATAGAAGAATCTATGAATGCAATCTGTGCTGTAGGTGAATACTGGTTGACATTTGTGTAGTTTAAGATGCGTTTTAACTTGTATTTTATAATTATATCAGACATAGCAAAATTCATGTCTCTTTTACGACACACTGATAGGATAAAGCTGTCGCTATAATTAAGCCCGGCACAGAGCAAGATGCTTATTAAGATCTGAGTTACACGACTGTCCAACAACTAATTAAACTGACTGCAAAATGAGAGCAAAGAGCTACCTTGAGATTTAATAATCAGATAACCTGCTTCAGTCTTGTATGTGGAAATTTGCTGGATCGCTCTGTGAGTCGAAGAAGACTTATTGAATGTCACTCGTTTCTGCACTTGGATTTTAGAATAATTAGTTGAACTGTTAGATGATCCCTGCTAATCGATGTCTGGTACTTTTCCTGGCTAGTGGCAGCCAATTATTTTGATTAATTATACACTGAATTTTTATTCATCATATGTCTTGAGGACCAGACTAGATCAACTCAACATTAGCGCTTAACGAATTTATATTTGCGTAGTTTACGTTTTCTTGAAGGCATCATATTATATAGCTATTTTAAAAGTTTCTTACTTCAGTTGCTGCATGAAACTTTCGAAAACTAATCTGTACCTCGTCCAGTTCAGCTTGCCCAAACTGTTGATCTAGTTCCCAGTTGATTGAGAGACAGTTTATTGGCAAAAGCATGGCTGAAACATGAATATCACGATTTTGAGATAAATATTCAGTCGAATCTAAGTGTGGTGGAGGAATCCCTGGTGTTCAGCCTTCTGTCTGTTCCATCTCAGCGACCTGGAGAAGTCGGTGGAGGAGATCCAGAAGGAGTCGTCTGTCAACCACAAGCTGGTGACAGTGCAGGAGCTGGAGGAGAAGGCCACTCTTCTGAGAAAGCTGGGAGAAACACTCACGGAGCTGAAAAGTGAGTCATTCTGGTGGATTCACTGTACACTGGCGCAAAAAGGAAAACACAGCCCTTTATGCTGGCAGACCATTTATAACGCCCTAGTTACTCATCAATGCACTGACTAACTTGTAGTCATGAACAGCCAATCTGTAGCACTTAATCACCCTAAGATTACTCATTGTCTCAATGAACTCAGTGACCATTTACCTAAATTGAAAAAGGTTATGGTTGCCTACCACAAAACATTTTGGACAAATGTAATAGATATTTTTTGTGTGATCACAGTTGGCTCCCTGTATTAATCTGTTGCTTTCCCCTAAAGATCAATTTCCAGGTCTGCAGAGCAAGATGCGGGTGGTGCTCCGGGTGGAGGTGGAAGCTGTCAAGTTCCTGAAGGAAGAGCCACACAGACTTGATGCCCTGTTAAAACGATGCAAGACTATAACTGATACCCTTGCTACCATGCGCAAGTATGACCTAGCACAACAATACCTACTTGGTTGTTTGTATTCCAGTAAAAAAACAACATTAAAGTCTAATAGCTGTCTTTACACTGAGTTTGAGATTTTAATAATCCTTTAAATACTGACAAGGAAGCACTTGTCCAGTAAATTCTTAAGCTCTTAAGTATGATCTGAAAGCTGTTAAATATGCCGAACACTGACTGACCTGTATCCACTTGTAATCAATTCCAGTCAGCCCAGTTTTTCCATTTGCACCTCTGCCAAAGGCATAATGTTTTCACCCCTATGTGCTGGTGTGTCAGCAGAACATTATGGATTTTCATAAATGAGGCAGTGAGAGAGGCCTTTGACCAAGAAAATTTATTAGATAATGTTGTTGATCCAGATCAGAAACTTTCATGCTTAAACATTTGCTGTTTTAAGTCAGAGTTCTGAGTTCATTAAGAGATATAGAAGTGATTTAAATCCATCAAGTGTGAAGAAAAGCAGTATTTAAATGTGTAGTCAAGCTTCCAGTATTGTTGTACTTAATTGGCATTATTGAATGTCACACTGATGAATGTCCTTTTTAGTCACATGAGTAACAGTTTTAATTTTGCGGTTAGTATAGACTAGAGGACGTTGAAGGACTTTTTCCTTCAGCATGCCATTGTCTATCTCCTAATCAGCCCTGTGTCCAAAAAGCGCCTCACTCTCAGGCTTAATTAATCTCAGTGATAAAAGAGCTCATCTAATGTTGCTCTTTTCTTTCATCTTTTGGGTAGCAGTAAGTTGGCAAATGCATTCAGCAGCAGTGGAAGTTTTTATCCTTCAGCGTTTAGTGTTTGGGGTCTTTTTTTAGCATTTGCAATTCTTTTTCATTTCGAGATCTGTATAATACATGTTTGTTGTTTGTGTTACATTTAAAAATGTTGATTAATTAATTCTTCTTTTGTCTTGCTAGACAAGCAAATGAGGGAGTATGGAAGAAGCAAGAAGACTTCACTAGTTCATCATCCAAGCACAACGAGGACTTGCGAAAGTTTGCAGACTTTGAAATCCCCACCATCAATGATCTTGGGGGAGGCAACAGCTTGTCCAATTGGAGCCCTCACACCAGCCTCAGCCGTGGACATGGCAACCCATCCGGCCTTCACAAGGATAATCATCCTCCTGTTCCCCACAAGGGCAAAGCTCTGGAAGAGCTTGAGCGTCGTGCTGCTGCTGACAAAGCTTTGTCCATGGAGGTCCGACTGGTAGGGATTATTTCTGTTGTTTATTTACGTGTTTTTCACCATCTGCTGTAAATACTTTGTGATGCAAACCAATAAACCAGTGAGGCATGACTATAGTTTTGTGTTCATACACTGCTCACATCCACCTCTCAACTTCACAGGCAGCAGAGCGGGACTGGGAGGAGAAGCGGGCCAGTCTAACCCAGTACAGTGCTCAGGACATCAACCGTTTGTTGGAAGAGACCCAAGCTGAACTAATGAAGGCTATTCCAGATTTGGATTTTGCTGCCAAGCAGATTAAGCCCTCCTCCAACACACCATCAACACAGACCCCCCAGAGTGGGGCAGCGACCCCAGACCACCGTGCCAACAAGCCCCAGCACAAGCTTTCTGGGAAAGAGGGAGGGTCCAGGCGTGGCTCTGGTGAGATGAGGCTCAGGCTGCATTAGTATGATAGATCAGAGTTTTGTTTCATGGCATCCATTTTTTTTTTTAAATGAATCTAATTTTTAATTCTTCAATAAACAATCCCTGTTATGTAATCGGTTTATTAAACTGCATGTTAAAAACATACGGTTGTGCTTACATTATAGTAATTTGGGGCTTTTAATTGTTTCTTTAAACTGTTCTTTTTCCAGGGTTGATTGATTGAAGAGTATACATCTTTAATGACTTAAAGAATTTAATTTGAATGTATTTTGACCCTCACACAGGGTCAGAATTAAATATACATACTCAGTTATATACAAACACTCCACTAATACTTGTTAATTTTCCTTTTAAAGGTTAAAAGTTGCAGTTCAACTTTATGCTTGTTGTAGCCATCAACAAGTATGTAAAGCATACCATATGGTGTAATTCTGGCTGGATATTTGGCCATCCCTCTTCAAATTTCAAATTTCAAATTCAAATTTTATTTGTCACGTACACAGTCATACACAGAACGATATGTAGTGAAATGCTTGGACAACTGCTCGTGACCTAAAGAAAACAAAAAAGGAAAGGCTATGAATAAGATAGGAAATAAATATGAAAAATTAAAAAGGGTAAATTTATCTAGGAAGGAATAAAATATAAATTAAGGTTAAAAATGAAATAACTGTACAACACAAATTAGAATGAAGGGTAAATTTAACTGGGAAGAATAAGATAAAATATATAAATTAAAGTTGAAAATAAAATAACTGTACAACAAAATACACAATACACAATATAGAACTATATAAGAATGTATGAAGAAATCTAAATATAAATAAATATATATACAATAACAGCAGCTGTACAAGTATTAACCGGAAATGAAGAATATAGTGACCAGTGTTGTGCAAAACCAAAGTCCAGAAAGTCCAGTGTGTGTGTAAGAACCATATGTGTGGGTCAGTACTGTGTGGTGGTGTGATTGAGAGACCGTATCGCCTGCGGGAAGAAGCTCCTCCTCAGTCTCTCTGTGTTGGTCTTCAGGGAGCGGAATCGCTTTCCTGACCTCAACAGAGAGAACAGTCTGTTGTTGGGATGGCTGAGGTCCTTCACCATCTTCCTGGCCTTGGTCCAGCACCGCCTGCTGTAGATTGAGTGCAGGTCAGGGAGCTCGGAGCGGATGGTGCGCTCAGCTGACCGCACAACCCTCTGTAGAGCTCGTCTGTCCTGCATGGTGCTGTTCCCGAACCAGGTTAAGATGTTTCCCGCCAGGATGCTCTCTATGGTGCACGAGTAAAAGTTCCTGAGCACCTTGGAGGGCAGTTGGAAGTCTCTCAAGCGTCTGAGGTGGTAGAGACGCTGACGGGCCTTTTTCACCACGGTGTTGATGTGACAGGACCATGACAGGTCCTGCGTGATGTGAACTCCGAGGTATTTGAAGCTGTCCACTCTCTCCACTGGGCACTCGTTGATGACTGGGGTCTGGTAGTTCCTCTCCTGCTTAGTGCTGAAGTCCACTATCAGCTCCTTTGTCTTACTGACGTTTAGAAGGAGGTTGTTCCTCTGGCACCAGTTCTCCAGATTCCTAATCTCCTTCAGGTAGGCCGTCTCGTTGTTATCAGAGATCAGGCCCACCACGACGGTGTCGTCAGCAAACTTGATGATGGTGGTGGAGCTGGTAGTGGCCACACAGTCATATGTGTACAAAGAGTACAGCAGGGGGCTCAGAACACACCCCTGGGGGGCTCCAGTGCTGAGAGTGGTGGAGGCTGAGACATGTCCGCCCATCCTTACTGCCTGTGGTCTGCCAGTTAGGAAGTTGGAGATCCACTGACACATAGATGAGCTGAGTCCCAGATGCTCCAGCTTGGTGGTGAGTGTGGAGGGAATTATGGTGTTAAATGCAGAGCTGTAGTCTATGAAGAGCATTTTAACATAATTCCCCCTTCTAGTGTCCAAGTGAGTAAGTGATGTGTGGAGGAGATGAGAGATGGCATCGTCTGTGGAACGATTTGGACGGTAAGCGAACTGTAGTGGGTCCAGTGTGTCTGGTAGTGAAGAAATGATGAAGTCTCTGACCAGGCGTTCAAAGCACTTCATCACTACTGAGGTGAGGGCTACAGGGCGATAGTCATTGAGAGAAGCAGGGTGGGGTTTCTTCGGGACAGGAACAATGATGGACTCTTTGAAGCATGTGGGGATCACCGACTGAGATAAAGAGATGTTGAATATCTCAGTGAACACAGGAGCTGAACACCTCTTGGTAGAACTGATAGAGTTTATTTCAAATGTTTGTTTTTTTTTCTTGCCACAGACCTGGCTTAAAAGTTTCAATTTCCATTTCTTTGAGTTTAGAGATTTGGGAAAGCCATTCCAGAAGCTTAATGTTTTATCCACTACAAAACCAGTTTTGATGCACGTTTGAGGTCATCGTCCTGTTGGAACACCCAGTTGTCTCTAGCTGTGGATTTGTGCAATGTGCTGGTACCACTGGAAGCAAAACAGCTCCAGAGCATGATGCTACCACCACCAAGCTTTACAGTTGATACAGTGATCATATTTTTAAAAGCCTCACCTTTACTCCTCCATACATAAGCTGAATTGGATTTATTGGCATGATATTGTTTTTAAATGTGTTGTGTTAATAATGTAATAATTCTTTCTAATGACATGTTACTGTGTTTTCAGATGAGCTGACAGTACCTCGGTATCGCACAGAGAAACCCTCCAAGTCCCCTCCACCTCCACCGCCTAGACGCAGTTTCCCCTCATCTCCCGGTGTGACCACTCGCAGTGGGGAGCCACTAATTCCTGGAAAAAGCATAAAGGTAACTGAAAAAAATAGTGCATTTAACAATTCCAGTGTTTTAATTCTCAAATCTACAAGTCATCATATTAAAATTCCCCTGTTGATATATTTAAGACAAAATCGCAAGCTTCTCACACCAGCTTTGGACAAGTTCTTACCCCTTTTTGTTCTTGTGGCCCTAGAAGGCTGAATCTGAAGAGACAGAGGGACAGAAACCTCACATAAAACTGAGGAGGACCGTGTCCGAAAACCCTCGTCCGTCATCAACACCTCCCACACTGGCTTCTGAAGACAAAGAGGAGGGAGAGGGGGAGAAAATTGCTGCCGAATTGGAGGTAAAGAAAACACAAGGTTAATAATATCCCCAATAGTCCGTTGTTCATTAAAAAAAACCAAAAGGAATGTTTTTAGTATTCATGTTACGTCCACAATTTGGAGCAAGTCTTTGTGTGCACACAGGCAGACAATGTCTGTTCAGATATGCTCACCCTCATTACCACATGTTCAAGCAGCAGGTGCCATATGTCCCCAGCCCCTGGCACTGTGAGAGCCCAAAGATCACATACTGCTCACTCACACACATCATCACCCAGGGCTCACAGATCACAGCCAGACAGATGGATCCTGATAGCTGCTTGGACTGTGTTAGAGATGACCTGCTGAAACTGAATAGAGTAAAGACTCAACAGTAATTGAGTTCGATCATTCAGCTGCTGCTGTGTTTTTATTTTGCAGATAATGACAGTTTGTAACTTTCTTTTTTCCTCCTCAGCTATTTGAGAGAGCCCCACACAGGCTCTCTATGCCAGCTCCCCTTTCCCTGCTAGTTAGCCCATGCAGTATAAAAAGTTTACACCCATCCAGACTGGACCTGTGGCCCCCTGAGGCCTCAGGCTGTGAGGTAACCCTTTGGCTTACCCTGAGTTATCTACCTATTAAGTTTCCATCTCTTTACTTCTACACCTGCTACCACACACAAGAATTATTAACTACAACACCAGTTCCAAAAACTTGGGACACTGTATAAAATGCAAATAAAAACTAAAACTTTAAGGTAAAAATAAAAAGGAATTTGGAATTTGATGGCAGCAACATGTCTCAGAAGTTGGGACAGGGCAATGTTTGCAACTATGTAAGCTTATATATGTGGGAACTGAGTAGACTGGTTGCTTGAATATTGATGCCATGGGTCTTCTTTGTGGTATTTGTACAATATCTGAACTGCAAGCAGGCAAGTTCAGCACACGGACTCTATGAGCCTTACTGTTGAAATAAATGCAGTATCAAAGTAAGAGTGTGTGAACATTAGGTAAAAAGTGTTTAGGCTTACATGCCTCATTCCACACATGTATATGTGTGGAATGAGGCATGTAAGAAAATGCTTTAAGTGCTCAAACTGAATAGAGCACAATAAGTAGTATTGGTGCGTTAAAAATCAGTATTACACTTTCCAGATGTGCAAACTGCTGAATCCATGGCAATAATGCACCATTATACCATCGGAGATGCAGGCTTTTGAACAAAACTCTGATAACAAGCCAGATGATTTCTCTTTTCTTTAGTCCAGAGGATCCGGCACCATGTTCTCCAAATCCAATTTCAAATTTCGATTTGTTTGACCACAGAACAGTTTTCTACTTTGCCTCAATCGATTTTAAATTAGCTTAGGCCAAACGATAGTGGCATTTTCTTTTGGAGCATGTTCACATTTGGCTTCTTCTTTGCATCATAGAGTTTCCGCTTGTTTGCTGTGGATAGCACAGCGAACTGTATTCACAGAGAATGCCACCTGAGGGCATCCAATATTGATTTTTGGCCTTGTGCACAGAGATTTCTCCAGGTTGTCTAAATCCTTTGATGATATACTGTAAAGGCTGAGCTATATAAAGACTTTCATTTTATTTTCAGGAACATGTTCCACATTTTTTAGATCCAGGTTTATGTAGATTGGCAAACCTCAGCCCTCCTTTGTTTCTGAGAAGGTCTGCATCTCTAAGATGCTCTTTCTGGCTTTTCTTGCACCTTTTTATTTCAGGTTAAATAATTTTGAGAAAAATACATTGGTTTTATGAATTGCAAATCATTGCTTTCTGGTTTTATTTCCATTTTACAAAGCATCCACACTTTTTCGGAACTGGGGTTATAGGCTGTCTTTTGTCTAGTGTTTCTGGGCAGGAGCTATACAGAGGTTTCTGCCAATAATGCGCTGCAAACCCAAAGCAATAACTGAAAGAGTCAGGTTTGTCTGACAGTGAGTAATTTGATTCAGTTTGAGTATGTTCATTAACAATCTTTCTAATCCTTTCCATTTATACCTGTTACACAACTTTTTAGAGATGTTTATAAAAGTCATCAGTCCTTAACAGGTATTTGCACTTATTAATAATATTGTGTTTTTTTGTGCGTGAGAGTCAGTATGTAAAGAATATACACTGAGCATCCTGGTAGCATTATCTACAAAGTAGGGGTGCAACGATACACAAAATTCACGGTTCGGTTCGATACTTTGGTGTCACGGTTCGATATTTTTTCGATACAAAAAAATGTTCATGCCTTTTTAATTTGTCATTTATTAAAATTATAAATATATATTTTAACTCAAAAGTACAGTTTTTAAATTTAATGTTGCTGAAACAAAAGTAATTAAAAAAATAAATATAATCTGATTGAGGAATCACTAATCTTTGGAAAAGAGAGTTTATTACAGAGAAATGGCTCTTTCCAAAATAAAAGCTATACTATATGCTTCTTCTGGGCTATATTCTCAGCAGCATATTGTAGCGGGTCAGGGCTGTTCGGGGTTCTGTTTGTACAGTTATGTTTTGTTTATGTTGCCATAGTGACGGGTGACGCGCTCTCGCTGCGACGGTGTGTCCTTCCGGGGTCAGAGGGCGCCCTGTGTGTTGTTGTTGTTGCTGTGCGGTTGCCGCGGTGAGCAGTTAGCTAGCGGCAGTGTTCTTCTGCAGATGTCAATAAACGGCTGTGCTCCCTGGCTAGCTCATGGGAAGCAAGACCAAAGGACACCTCCGTCTCCTCGTTGTCTGAGCTTGCCACATTGGTGTCAGAAGTGGGATGATGGTGACACCCCATGTTCTGACCCGAGTGACTTTTCCCCCGCCGGTCGTGACCGGCTGGTGCGCCAAAAGAAGGCACCTGGACATTTACAAAGTGAAAGCAAAAAAACAAGCGCAAATTCAAACGCGATTTCAATATGTCACATATTGACAGTGGCTCACCGATGCCAATGACATAATTACCCAGCTACATTTCCGAAAGAATGCAAAAGCATTGACATATATTTTTCCTTCCTACAATAGCCCGACGGGCAGGGCAGAGATAGATTTTGGTAGCCCGACATCCCGGGGCTAGCGATTTTGCAAACCCTGTGTTACAGGCATGGCCCTTTAAGGATGAAGCCTGATGGGAAATGTATTCGGGATGTGTGTCGGGACTGCCTGGTGTGTAAGTAACGGTTAGCTACAGAAGAGACGAAAATAAAATAAATAAAAGGAATATAATAACTCCCTCGACAGCCAGAGTTGTGTCGGCGATGCTTGCTGTGAGTAAACTGTTTCAGCCCACTGTACGCGGTGTTCATGCCTTAGAGAAGAAATAAAGTTCGGTGAAGCAGTTTCCTACGCCTCCTTCGATCTTTTTGCTAGCAGAGTTGACCTGTATAGTAAGCTGTTGCCGGCTATGAGTCAGTTACGGAACCTTCAAGTAACTGCCAGAGGTTTCCTTACTACGGTTCGGGGCCGCGGATCTGGCGCGGTAACACCTGTATCTGATTGAGGAATCACTCATCTTTGGAAAAGAGAGTTTATTACAGAGAAATGGCTCATTCCAAAATAAAAGCTATACTATACGCTTCTTCTGGGCTATATTCTCAGCAGCATATTGTAGCGGGTCAGGGCTGTTCGGGGTTCTGTTTGTACAGTTATGTTTTGTTTATGTTGCCATAGTGACGGGTGACGCCCTCTCGCTGCGACGGTGTGTCCTTCCGGGGTCAGAGGGCGCCCTGTGTGTTGTTGTTGTTGCTGTGCGGTTGCCGCGGTGAGCAGTTAGCTAGCGGCAGTGTTCTTCTGCAGATGTCAATAAACGGCTGTGCTCCCTGGCTAGCTCATGGGAAGCAAGACCAAAGGACACCTCCGTCTCCTCGTTGTCTGAGCTTGCCACATTGGTGTCAGAAGTGGGATGATGGTGACACCCCATGTTCTGACCCGAGTGACTTTTCCCCCGCCGGTCGTGACCGGCTGGTGCGCCAAAAGAAGGCACCTGGACATTTACAAAGTGAAAGCAAAAAAACAAGCGCAAATTCAAACGCGATTTCAATATGTCACATATTGACAGTGGCTCACCGATGCCAATGACATAATTACCCAGCTACATTTCCGAAAGAATGCAAAAGCATTGACATATATTTTTCCTTCCTACAATAGCCCGACGGGCAGGGCAGAGAAAGATTTTGGTAGCCTGACTGGAAAAATCGCTAGCCCGACGTCCCGGGGCTAGCGATTTTGCAAGACCTGTGTTACAGGCATGGCCCTTTAAGGATGAAGCCTGATGGGAAATGTATTCGGGATGTGTGTCGGGACTGCCTGGTGTGTAAGTAACGGTTAGCTACAGAAGAGACGAAAATAAAATAAATAAAAGGAATATAATAACTCCCTCGACAGCCAGAGTTGTGTCGGCGATGCTTGCTGTGAGTAAACTGTTTCAGCCCACTGTACGCGGTGTTCATGCCTTAGAGAAGAAATAAAGTTCGGTGAAGCAGTTTCCTATGCCTCCTTCGATCTTTTTGCTAGCAGAGTTGACCTGTATAGTAAGCTGTTGCCGGCTATGAGTCAGTTACGGAACCTTCAAGTAACTGCCAGAGGTTTCCTTACTACGGTTCGGGGCCGCGGATCTGGCGCGGTAACACCTGTATCTGATTGAGGAATCACTCATCTTTGGAAAAGAGAGTTTATTACAGAGAAATGGCTCATTCCAAAATAAAAGCTATACTATACGCTTCTTCTGGGCTATATTCTCAGCACCATATTGTAGCGGGTCAGGGCTGTTCGGGGTTCTGTTTGTACAGTTATGTTTTGTTTATGTTGCCATAGTGACGGGTGACGCCCTCTCGCTGCGACGGTGTGTCCTTCCGGGGTCAGAGGGCGCCCTGTGTGTTGTTGTTGTTGTTGCTGTGCGGTTGCCGCGCTGAGTAGTTAGCTAGCGGCAGTGTTCTTCTGCAGATGTCAATAAACAGCTGTGCTCCCTGGCTAGCTCACGGGAAGCAAGACCAAATGACACCTCCGTCTCCTCGTTGTCTGAGCTCGCCACATTGGTGTCAGAAGTGGGATGATGGTGGCACCCCATGTTCTGACCCGAGTGACTTTTCCCCCGCCGGTCGTGACCGGCCGGTGCGCCAAAAGAAGGCACCTGGACATTTGCAGGACTTTGTGTGGGGTAATGGGGTCGTCGGGGACGACTGACCCCTTAGGTGGGGGCTATGCAGCGGGTCAGCGCTGTTCGGGGTTCTGTTTGTACAGTTATGTTTTGTTTATGTTGCCATAGTGACGGGTGACGCCTTCTCGCTGCCACGATGTGTCTTTCCGGGGTCAGAGGGCGCTCTGTGTGTTTTTGTTGCTGTGCGGTTGCTGCGCTGAGCAGTTAGCTAGCGGCAGTGTTCTTCTGCAGATGTCAATAAACGGCTGTGCTCCCTGGCTAGCTCACGGGAAGCAAGACCAAACGATATCTCCGTCTCCTCCTTGTCTGAGCTCGCCACAATATTAAACATATCAGGTCCCCATAAGGAGAATCATGTGCTAACGGCTGTCTAAATGACTCGGGTAAAGTTTGTAGCATGCCTGTTTGTTGTTTTTGTCTGCTTCCACTTGTCTTTGCACTAGGATGATGTCGGCGTAAATGTGCAGTCATATTCGTTGTGTTCCCACTAGTGCTGTCAGCATTAATCTCGTTGAAATGACGTTAACGCCACAACACGGCAAATCTCCGTTAACGAGCTACCCCTGCGTGGGGCTAGACGGCCAACACGTTAACGAGCTAACTGCGCTAACACACTAGTTCCCACCCATGTAATTGAGCATTGCGTGGCACATTCAACATACTGTTTTACTTTAGTCCATGACGCGCTTACCTTCAGGGTCATACATCACATGAAAACCAAAATAATTCCAAACGCCAGATCTGAATGAGGGTGGGGGAGGTTCAATTTGCCATGTTGCAAGGAGAGCTTAACTTCTGTCTCGCTAGCTTGCCCTGCGCTCTTCCTTCTGACGATGCTGTCTGTGTTGAGCGCTCAGTAGATCTGTGCTCGACAGTGCAGCCTAGGCGGAGTAGTCGAACGCAGATTCACTGAGCGCTCAACACAGACGGCATCGTCAGAAGGAAAGTTGATAAAATAAATTACAAATTTTGTATTGTTCGATACATATGCGTACCGAACCGAAAGCACTGTATCGAACGGTTCAATATCAATACGAGTATCGTTGCACCCCTACTACAAAGGTATTAGATACAATGTGATAATATTTCTTTCATGCTCTCTGATGTGCTTGGGTGTTTTTAATGCCATGGTTTGTAATCTCACTTGAAGTTTGTGCTTGGAGTGTGTTTAAATTGAAAACTCAAGTGCTTTCTTCATTTATAGGCAGGGCACATGTCTCCTGTCCCCCACATCGTGTTGACAGATTGCTGTCCTGCTTCGCTCACAAACTCAGAGGATCCTGTCAGAGATTTGGGGAATGACCTTGTGGAGGGGACTCAATCACAAGATTGGACTGGTCATCATTCAGTCGGCAAGACTATAATTTCAAGGGGAAAGCATTCAGGGGGATTTGAAAGTCCTCCACAGCGAGAACAGTGTTCGGATAGTGAATTCAAACAGGAAGTTGCCCTGCTGGTGACAGATCTGGGCATGAGAGTGGTGTCTCCTCTTGAAGCCCAAGAGCTCAGTGAGACTAAAGGAGATGTTCTTCACACTCTAATCATCTCACCGCAGACTAAGGAACTGTCTGAAACTCAGCTGAGTCACCGGCCTCTGCTAGTGCTCTTCAGGGTACAAAAAACTGTCAAAGAGGCCTACGAACTACTGTATTCCCTTGTGGCATCATTCGAATTAAAATTCTCCCATGCCCCAGACCAGCAGATGCCTCTAGCTGAGGCTCTCAGAAGCGGCATAGAGACAGGGGCTAGCATGCTGACATTTCACCACAAACCTGAAATTAGGTTAATGCCTGAGCTGAGCTCAGTAAGCAGTACTCTTAACTCTAATGGGTCAACTAGGTCTGCGGACACTCAGAGGAGAATGACAGAAGATGTCCGACGCACCACCTACAAGAGGCTGGACAGCTTGGAGGAGACTATTCGAGAGCTGGAAAACACATTGATAGAGATCAGTGGTCATGCTACTAGAGAGCAGCTCTACAGTCAGACAATCATCAACAGTAGCCCTGTACCGACGACTGGTAGTCCAACTGAGGCGAAGAAGCCGCCACTCCCACCCAAGCCATCCGCCTCGAGTCCATCATCAATCCAGGTTTTTGCTTACACCTCCTGTGTCCATTCCTGCTCTGAAGCAGCATCCTCTTTTTTTCTTCACTTCTTCTCTGTGGATGGCAGTTGGAAATTCACTTTCCAGCTTCTGATGTCTGCTCCCTGATTAAATCGGCATGCGACTGTATTTGAAATCGAAACCGTGCAGAGGGGACAGACAGCAGACTTCCTACCTACTTGTCTGTTCTGTGATTAGTGCTGGGGCTGCTCTCCTGCTGAGCTCAGAGTTGTTAATTGTTTTTTATTGATCTGTCCCGGTATCTCCTATCTGTCTGAGTCTAGCTAATTTTGCCTTTTGTTACACCAAGAGGCAATAAAAAATAAATGCATTTTCCTCTTCTCCTTTTCTGCTCTTTACTGGTTAGTACGATCTAATTCATTTAATTTCTTATCTTAGTTCTGCCCTGAAATCCAACTTTCTTTTCCTCACTAATCGTCTTAAGCACAAAGCAGTACAACTGCGGTTGTACTTTATTAAAAGGTAGCGCGAGGACATATTTACATTAAGCTGTATCTTCCATCATCCAGCATCATTTTGTTGTAAATTATGTTCTTTTTGCAGCAGCTGTTTTGACGTGTCATTGCAAGCTAAACAGACACATTATTAATGAGTTTAAGAATCTGTACATAGGCCAGGTCCTGGTATTGTTCATGTTGGCCTACTTAAATGCCCTGCTGTGACAAGTCAGAATGGCAGAGTGGCTATGCTTACATGGAGCCTAATATTTCTATTCTGTGAATGTTCACTTTAAAAGACCAAACACAGTAGAAGTTCCCCATATGAACACCTCAAGCGCAATAAACAGGACGAGGCTTTTTAATGAGCTCAATTTAATTGCTGCCCTTTCAAATCATTTCAATGCAAGGAATGAAGAGTAACACATTTACAGCAACTTCTGCCCTAAACAGATGTGAGAAATCCTTTCTCGGGGAGCTATTCAGACATGCGTCACAGATAAAAGAGCCACTGACAAATGCAGATGCAGCACTTTTGCGACATTGTTTTGATTAAGTGCGTATTCATCCATCCACATAAATTTACAACGCTTGTAAACAGCTGACCCAAAATGTTTAATCATAAGGACATAAACAGACATTTAAACTGTTTAGCTGCTTTCAAATAACGAGGTAAAACTACAAAGAGAAAATTCGATCTAATAAGTTTAAAAAACAAAAGATTTCTTACCAAAGGCTAGTATCATGTCTAATATACTTCACATTAATATGTACTGACTATGTGCTGAACTCTATTACCAGATGTTGTCAGTGGCCTGGCTTTAGCTCACCTCCAGCTGACCGCTACACAACAAAAGATTAGTAATTATCAAAAGCATTCCTGTGTCAGCTGCCACTCGTCTGAGAGGTCTTGACAGCTTGCGTAGCACTCCCTGTTACTCTGATTGTAGCCTACCACTCAGGGCAGGGCTGCAATACTTGACAGTCACACTGTCATGGTGAGTTTTAGCCCTCTGATGTAGAGCCAGAAAGCACTCCCATGGGCACGGCTGCGGATTACAGAGTCTTCACACATTATTTCATCACTCCAACTTCAACCACGTTCATCATTTCAACATGACCCTTCTTCCAACTCTTGTCCAACATTTGCTGGCACACTTACCAAATTCACACTGACAAGAAATCTACTTTCAGAACCCATTAGAGTTTAGTTTTTAATTAGCACATCAAACAGCAAGTTTACTTGCAAATTTTATGATCTAATTTTAAAATTCTGCTTCTCGTTAAAAAAGGATTTGGCGCAGAAGGAAGGTGGTTACAAGTCTTTCTTCTCTGATTTAATGTAGTAGGGGTAACTGACTATTTGATATTAGGGTTAATCTTTTGTTAGTTTTCCTTTTAGCTAATGTCTCTGTGTGCAGATGAGGCACAGTTGGATGGAAATTTGACTGGATGTGTATTTGTTTTCCTGTGTATTAGAGAGAGTCAATAGAGTAACTCAGCAGGAAAGATCATTAAGCACGCTGCCTCGTGGATCCTGTGGTGAGGCTAAGCTACGCAACGTCAGTTTTGATGCCGCATTTCTATATTCTGGTCTTTGTCATCTTCTGCTGATAGATAGTGAAACTCTGTGAAGTGGATAGTTCCATTTTATACCAACTATAAGCTGAGGTCTTAAAAACCTTATTAGTCTCAAGAGAAAGACTTGATAAAGGCTGGACTCAAACTCTGTAGTAAGTAGATGTGTGTCTTGAGGCTTAAATCGAATACACTGTAGAGGGGAAGTGAAATCTACAGACATCTGATGTGTGACAAAGTGTTATTAATGGTTCTCCTCTGTTCTTCTCTTGTTTATTCTATTCTTAGGGAGGAACTATTTCAGGTAGCGGGAAGTTTCTCCACTCCTCGGCTGCCTCCAAACTGAAGCACCTGCAACAAAACAGCACAGAAAAGACTAAAAGTGGCAAAAGAGAGGACTTCATGAAGGTCCAGGGCCAGCAACAGGTACAATTTGCCTTTGTTTTGCGCTGTTGAGGCCAAAACGCACTTGATCTGGCAGAGTCTGTGCATGATCCCTAAGATGGACAAGTTAGCTTTTAGGTATAACCATCTTAAGCACTTAATGAAGGCATATAACAAAATTGAGATATAAAAAACATGAAAATTACAATAATGATCATTATTGAATCGTACTGCCTTTATGCCCACAGAGTCACTGCAGTTGAAACTGTCAGAGGTTCAAAGAGAAATATGAAACTATCATTCTTAGTAAAATGCAACTGAAATATATAAAATCAAAGGTTTATTTATTGAAGTATGTAATTATTAGGGAAAAATGCCATATATACTGAATGTATACCAATAAAGTACATTTAATTTGACCAGATTCTGTTAAATTTCCTCTTTTACATTATACTTATGTAGTCATATCAGCATTTTGGGCATAAATATTTTTTGGAGTGCAAAAATCTGGGCCTACCAAAAATCAAGATAGAAAGGATAGTATTGATTTTGTTCTGTATTTAAGCAAATATAATTGCTTTCTTCCTCAAATAGAGACATATTTTGCGTTAATGTTTACGCCACCTCCCCAACAACTTCAGCAAGCCTTCGTTCAGAGTTATTTTCTCGAAAGCAAGTGTGTGTGCATCCATTCAAGTAATCCACTCTGCACCAGATCAAGATTAAATGGGCCTTAACTACCACTCTTCACTGCCACTGGATCCTTTCTGTGCCCCGCAGAACCACTGTCACTTTTCAGCGTGATACATTCCTCGCCCTCTGTGTATTACAGTCTGTGTAACATTCAAGATGCAAACTTAGCAGACAGCAGAAGCGATGAATTGAATTCAAAGCCAGTTTTGCCATAAACCTTTTAATGTCACATTATTGTGACAGGCTCATCATCACAGGAATGCTCAATTGGATCAAAGGATTTTCTGCAGGCACTGTCCCACAGAGAGATGCATGTCACACAGGTTAGAGTGATGAAGGATTAGCACTTTAATTACCTAAGCAGTGTTTCATGTCTGAAAGTCTTAAGTGGCTTCTAATTATATAATTTAAACCTATTAAAGTGTTGTTATGTATTAGCATTATGGACGTGCTTGCATCTTTAACAGGTCTTCACTTCTGTTTTTTTCTGAACTCTGACAGACAATTGGGTATGAAGAAACTCTTAAAAGCGCTTGAGTTTAATTTATAAAACTTCATAAACTCTCTCTCTAAGTATTTGTTGTTATGCATATGCCTGACAGCTGGCTTTTCATTCTTTTTTCAGTCTCTAATATGCTGGCATTTTAGAGGTTTAAAGTACAGCAAAAGACTGGACATAAGGATGCTAGATGGCCTCTAGAGGCAAGGAAATTGAACTGTTGGAGCATGTCGGTCAAGTAAAGCCAAGAGAAGATTTTTACAGCATGCCGGTGCACAGGAGGGGAAAAAGGCTTAATGTCAATGTAATTTGAAAAATAACCGAAGCAGTGAAGTGCACCTAAACCTTCATAACCCACAGAATTTGACAGAGCATTCAGACACAAATTCAGTCTTAAAGATTGAAAAATGAATGCGTTAGGCAGACAGCCAGAGACTTGAGACATGGAGGGGTTTGGTTGCCTCATACTGAGAGAAGATTGAGAAGAATCTCTACAGAGCCATGTAATAATCACCCCTTGAGTCACTGGCAATCACCGATTATTCATTATGAAGAGGGCAGTTCTCTTTCCACCATAAAGTCTTTCAGGTTTCCTCTTCTTTATGTCTTTTTCTTCCCCTTTCCGCTTTCTCTACTCTGCAATTTATGCATGCTGGCCCTTTCTCCGTTTCACTCTTCCTCTGTCAGTCTCGCTCATTCCCCGAGATTTGGAAGCTGAGTGGATGCCTACACTTGTGTAATGAAAGCAAAATTAATCCCATTATTTCAATATGACACTCACAGGCAGCACAGTCTCTTTGTCCACAAACTTCAAAACAGTCATTGTGAAAAGATGCTGTACGAGTGAAAGCGCTATCCTCCGAGGGACGGTGGACACTCAAAGCTAATTGTCGGCGTGGGAAGTCGGTGCCAAGCAGTTAAGGGTAGCAGCATACCACAACTGTGTGATGAATAACAAAGAGGAACAAATAACCAGCTGGTTTAGTGTAGGAGAATAAAGAGTCAGCTGTGGTAGGCGCTATAACAGCCAATAACTCTATTTTGTATTATTTTTAACGATGAGGGACTACTAGTCCCTTTGTACATTTCCAGGTGTTGTATAAAGACAAGTGAAAAACAATTATTCAATGCAAAAGTGCACTTGATATAATAATTGGCCACTTTATTAAATTGATGTTAAAATGTTGGTAGGCCTCCATTTTTAAAAATGCTGCCATAGTTTGTTAGCTGCTTTAAGGCTAAAGAGGTTAGTTGGTCAGATACTTGTCCTAAATATCCTAATATTCATTAATGGTGGCGATCCTCATGGATGAACATTTACAAACGGGCTTGCGTAAATGTGCAAACTGGCAGTTTGACAACAGTTTTGATGCACAGTTAACAATCATTGAGGAAATAAACACTGGCTACTTGTAATCTGGACCTTCACTACTGGTCACAAAGTAGCTCTATCGTGAAAGTTGTGCATACATCTGCACTCTTACCTCCCTATCTGCTCGGTTTCCTTCATAAACATTGTCGAGCATTCTTCTTCATCTACCTAGCAGAGCCAAAATTTCCATCTATTCTTCCGTCTATTTTCTTCATGCAGTTCAGGGTTGCAGGGGTGTTGGAGCCTCTCTCAGCTGTCATCGGGAGAGAGGTGATGTAGTCCCTGAACATGTCACCAGTCTACTTGAAAGCTAACACAGAGCGACAGACAGCCATTAATATTTACACCTTTGGCCAATTTAGAAACACTTATTAATCTGCTTGTTTTAGACCGTGGGAGGAAGCTGCCAGGGGGAAATTTAGCACAAAAATGGACTTTTTATCTTTGTTGTGACCCCTTGCTCTTGTTATGCACTGTGACAATCCCTATAAGTGAGGTTACCATTACCAGTTCATGCTGCAATGTGGAAAAATTGCATATGGATTTTTTGCATGTACAGTGTAGTGTACCTCGCGTAGTTTACAACCATAACAAAATAACTCTCAACCAAATTTCATTGCTTAAAAAACAGCTACTTGAAAGTGTTTTGGGGTTTTTTGTATTTTTGTCATTGTAATAATGTAATCAGTAAACAAGGCAGCATGGTGGTGCAGTGGTTAGCATTGTTGCCTCACAGCAAGAAGGTTCTAGGGTTCCACTGCCCGTTCTGTGTAGCGATTGCATGTTCTCCCCTTGGTTTCTTAGGTTCTATGTATACAGAAGAAAATAGATGGATGGATATCAGTGCAACACAGTTTTTGCTCTACTTGCTGTCAGACTATGTTTACTGTAAAAGGTCTGATATAACAGCAACAAAAATATAAAAGAAGAGTTCAAATTGGTGAATAATTGCATTAAGCCTATACTAGTGATACTTATCTGTCTGTCTGAATGTCCTTGCATCATTAACTCTATACATATTTTTGAAATCTTTTTATGTCAAATGAAAATGGTGCAGAACCTGATAATTTAGTTTAAAGATGGATGGGGCAAAATCTATCTACTAAATCATTTTAAATTCAGTATAATGAAACAGCTGAGCAAAGACTAGGCAGGAAAAAACATGCTGATTATCTGCTGCTCATCTCATCAAATTATCAAGGCGGCTGGCTGATTTGCATACTGCCTTTAAGAGCTAATTAAGAACTTTTGCCTAATCCACATTTTACTTTACCTGGTATCTTTTTTTAAACCCCTCAGTGACATCTGGCGTGTCATCTTTCTGAAGAGAAATTCGACTTGCAGCTGCTAAGCAAAAACAAAAATATGATGTATTCTTTAATTTTATGAAACCTTAAAGCTTAGCTGATATTTTTGAACTGTGTAAAATGTGGCAATGACTACAGTTAATCACAGTGCTTCCCATCAACATTTCACCACCAAACTCACTGCTAATTTTTAAAAAATATTGTTGTTTTAACAATCAGATGTGCCCAGCTTGGGTGATCTCTCTCCTTGGCACCGAACTCAAGGTAAAATGGGCTATTCTCTTAAACATCTGCTGTTCGTAGCTCCCTAAATGGTCCCAAACTTTTACCTCTCCTTCCATTTCCCCTTGGTGTTTTTAGATTGTTCTCTTCTTGCCAAACCGTAATGACATTTCTGGGGCATTTTAAATAGGGTCCAAACCAAAGGAACGAGGACAGCACTTCAGAGTCTCCTGATGGTCTGCTGTCCCCTGCTCCAGCTACTACACGAATAGACCTAAATATCTGAATACATTTAAATATCTTTACCGCACAATGACACTTTCCTCCAGATTGCATGAAAGGCAGCTGGTGTTCATTCACTCGTCATGACTAAAAGCCAGCTGGAAGGATAGTTTATTATTTTTAAGATAAAACGAGACCACTTTTTCGTTAAACGCGGGTCCTGCCGTTTCAAGAAAAAATACTGATTGAACATTGCGGCATTTCAATCACCATAAATTAGAATTATGGGGTAGGGATAAAGTTGGCCAGTCAGATTTTCGTAATGGACTTGCTACACCTTACCACAGTATAAAATGTAGCTTTATTCCCCCTGGAGAATTAGTTTCTTTTTTAGATTTAATTCTAGCGTTGTCTATGTGTATTTGCAGGTGTTAAAATTAACAGAGCTTTTCTGATAGCGCCTCGTGCCGCTGTACTCGGGCTGCTTGCTCAATAAAGCTATACTGAGACATACTTAGACCATTTCAGGCATGAGGATCCTTCAAATCAATGTGTTGGATAAGAACAGACAGTTCAAAGCCACAATTTCTCTCCGTTTGCTTTGGCACAGATCAAGGAAGGCATGACAATGTGAATCACTTTCATGCTGCAAAACCCTATTTCCATTTCCCATTTGGGCACTTATTACTTCTGGCAGTAAAGCAGGCTAGTTAAAGGTGTTGGGCATGAGTTGGGGTTAGTAGGGGACTATCCATGGAGGTTATCATTTGGCAGGCAGGTCTGAGTGCGTGAGATGAAGGGGTGCTCTCCTGTACTCGCAGATCAGGAAAAAATGCGTCCACCAGGCTTGAGAAGAGTTCCTTGAGCAGAAGGAACAGCCCGGCTCTCTGGGAACGGTTGGCAGCCCAGGATCTGGAGCTGCAACAGAGCAGATGAAAGCCTCCCAGCAGTGCAGTCTAGACTAGCACACCTGCTGTCTTTTCAAGCAGAACTAATTCCCGTAAACCCAAAACAAACAGAATAAAACTTTTATAGCCACAGAAATCAACTTTTCTCCTGTTGCTTCATCTGAAAAGTACAAAAATACATTTTTTGCCATATATTAAAAAATGAGTATTTACTTTTTTAAATGGATTTGCACATGAAACACAGAAACTGTTCTCTCAGATGTAGTCTGCTTAACAAAGACGGACAAATACATGTTGTAAACGTATTGCTCACAAGTCTCAATCTACTGTTGAAACAGTGCCATCTAGTGTCTCATTTCTGCATTACACAAAAGGACTGAAAGTGAATGTGTACATTTTTAATGAGTCAACATTAATAAAACAAGTGTCAAAATAAAGGTGGTCAACAGTGTCATTTGCCCACTTTCACTGTTGCACCTTCTCAGTGGTATCAGTGATTTTGTTTATCACGTGTAGATGGCAGCCTGTGTCGTGGCTTGCATCACACAATCTGATATCAACCTGAATAACAATTTCCTGTTTTTTTTCCTGTTCTGTTTTCACTCCCCTCCCCTTCACTACATGTTTCTTCTGACACTTGTTCCTGCGGTGCAACCTCACCTACCCCGTCACCCCGTGTGAACCTGTGCTGCCCTGCACCTTCTGGCCTGCCCATCTACCCTACCTATACCCTACCTATAAAACCTGCAGCAGTGAGCAACCTGTCCGTGTCCAGCATCTTCAGTTTCCTTCTTCTCCTGTTCACCTGACTCCAGAGATACACACAACCATCTGCTCCCTGTACCTTATCAACTACTTTCATATCCCCAATGTTTACTCTGATATATGGTCTGACACCCAGTCTGTGTAAGCGCGTGTGTGTGCGTGTGCAAGCATGCTTGCGCAGAAATGTTTGAGTGTAATAGTAAGGGAAGGTGCTGCAGGGCACAGTACCCAACCACAACCAATTTTAAGACTTTCATTTTTCATGATTTTTCCCTTCGACCCCTGAAAACCTCATCTCTTTACATTCCTCCTCTGCTCCCTCCTGTCTTCTGTGTCCCTATTCTACCTGAAGGCGAAAGGGACCTACAGCACCAGTGGCAGCATTGAGCCATACCTCTCTGGTATCAAAATGGGCATTTTTTCAGGCCGAGTGGCCTCTCCTGCGGCAGCATTTGTTCCTGGTCTGAGGAAGTACCCCCAGGAGGGGGCGATGCCTGCACTTACAGCCTCCTCAAGCCAAGCAAAGGCCCTCTTGGCAAGCCTATCTGCTTCCGGCCTGAGCGCTGAGGCCTTGCTGCTTTCCTCCGCCCTTCGTCATCACCGCCTCCTACGTGAGCAGCGAGCCTCCTCCCTGCCCCTGCCCAGCAGCCAATCCTCCTCCCCTACTCCAACTGCTACCTCCTCCTCTTCATCCTCGCCAAGCACCCCGACTCCATCCCTATCTCCCTCCTCTCCCACCTTTGGTTCCTTTGCCTTCTCCTCTGGAGTTCTCAAGCCCAGCAGGCGTAGCCTCGACAGCTCCAGCCTCAACAGGTCCAAGGATGGTGGCAACAAGCCTGTGAAAAAGGACCTTTACCCTGGCAACAAGTGATGAATAGGAGGAGGATAAGGACTTTGGATACAGTTCTCAACCACAACCATCACATCATGACCCATAAAGATGAACTAGCTGCATTATGGAACAATATTCTTTATATTCCAGTTCTTATAAGATTTTTTAATTTTTCTTTTCTTGTTTTTTCTGCTTCCTTTTATTGCACAGTCTACCACAGTGTAAATGGAGTCACAGTTTTCTTCATGGACAAGTGTCCTACTCTGATCCAGTACCTTAGATCTACTGCAGTTCTCCCACAAAGTCATTCTGTCACCTTCCCAGATAGAGAGTGCACAAACAGGCCTCCCCTCCCACCAGCTACCTGCTATAAGCTGATGTGGTCTGGCTGTATTTGCTGACAGCACCATTCTCACATACATACTCTCAGTGGGTTGTTAGTGGCATAGTTGAAATATCTAGATGGTGACTTTGATCATATAGAAAAAAGAGCTGCAATAATCACCAAGTGAGTTCAGTAGTTGTGTGTGTTCAGGATAGTAATGTTTTGACTTACCTGCATCACCTGACAGAATGTGATTCCACTCGGAAAACAAAAAAAAAAAAATTCAAAAAATCAGAAGGTGGCCATGGTGATGAACGAGGTTTCAAGCTGTTTAGTGTTAAAAGGGCATTTGTGGCTTTTTTTAAATCGCCTGTTTTAAACTCTAAACTGGTGCTATGTTTTCCCCTCTGTTTGTACAAACTGAGCTTACACAATTGTCCTCCCCCTCCTGTCTCGGAGTCGGCTTTAATTTAATTTTGCATTTTAATCTAGATTTACAACCCTACAAACGAAATACTTGCATCAGCAATTAGCGACATTTAAAGTAGATGTCTAATTGGAAAACTGGAAACTGCAGCACATTCACAAGAATGCAAAGAAGGCAGCAGTCCTGAAATAGCACAAGTCTTTTTAAAGAAACGACAAAGAGGCACGGTTACGCAAACAGAAGGGAAAAGTGCAAACGATGAATTGTATTCAAATGTTGGTTTTCATATGTGTGTATTAACTAGTTAATTATGACAATCAGGATGTTTCCACAGTAGCATCTTCTAGGTTGCTCTGGCATTACAGAGCCTGACATCACAACCCATCCCAAAGACTTAAGCGCACACACTGATGAACAACACACAAATACACAGTCTCTCTCTCACACACACACTTGAAAAAGCAACCTGTACAGCACAGACTCACTTATTTTTTTCTTTCAGCCAACCTCATGTGAATAATCATCGTAGGTCACATCTGTTTCACCACTTATAAAGAGCACTCTGGTAAATTATGCTATATTAATCTGATCTCACCAGATCTACACTGATAGATTCTTTCTCTTGGGATACTTGAGTTCAAAATTAATCACATCAAACTTTAGGCCTTATTGTAAAATATAACACATTCTGTAAACGAGCAGATGACACAAAAAGCCTAAAAGTGAGTCTTACAAACCAAGAGCGACACGAGAGGAAAGTATTGAAATCTAAAGCAAGCACAGTTGACTCTCAAACACAAAATCCCCAATTAACGAGAATTAACTTTGTAATTCTTTTTAATTATGACAAGCACAAAGGATGAAGCATTCGCATATACATTTGATATGCTACACATTAGATTCCAAGTATTGCTTTGGTTATATTACCTGCATTTTGAGTCATGAAACTTTTATGAATGAAGGCCTTCAGTGTTTCTCAATGATAGAAACTCAAGTTGGGATTATTTTCAAGCACATCAAAGGTGTGTCAGTGTGAACCCTGCACGAGGAACCTCTTTGGAAGCGGCCTGTCCTGCGTGTTTGCCTTGAGGCAGCCTGCTGGGGATGTGAAGTAGCTGAATGGACCGTAACCGACAAAGTGATTCTTCTCAGTGGTTCTCCAGCATGACTGTGTGAAATCGATGCTTTGTGGCATTGAGGTTTAAAACATGTGAAAAGGGGCTCATGTCAAAGAGTAGGCAGCTTTAGGAGAGGGGATTAGTTTGGGGACATGTGTTTGAAGGATACTTTAATAAGGCCGGCTTTAACTCGTCCTGTATCCATTGAGAGCGCTTGTGAAATAAAAGACCCAAAGAGATGAGAGGAAGGGTCTGACAGCCAGAGGGCACTTCTTTCCCTGCCCTCTTCACTTTGCATTCTTTGGTGTGAAGGATCTCTGAAAGTCAAAAGTGCTCAGCTGATGTTATCCAAGAACAAAGTTTGACAAGCTTCAATTATGAACAATGTGTGCAATATATAATTAGCGCTCTTGCAATTTTACCAAGGCAGTGCTCTTTGCCTTTGACATACTCCTGCCTGCTTATCTACAAGGACCTGTAACCATGTTTTTCCCAGTGCCTCTAAGACGTTGCTCCTGCCAGAACCCCCCAAATGATCTTGTATTACAGTAGTAGATCAGCAGCAATGACAGAATAACCCTTTTACCCAAAGAAGAAGCTGCGAGAGCTGGTTTGTTCCCATTTTTCGCAGATAAAAGAAAACGGCACTTGAAATGCAGTGTGTCAGGTTGCAGCAGTGGCATTTGACTAAACAATCCCCAGCTCTAACAGTGTGCACAACTGCAAGCTCGCAGCACAGCGAATTAAGTCTCACCCCTGGGTGCTCTGTAGCTCTGCCAGGCAGGTTCAAGCCCCGGGTTTCATATTGAGTGAAGTCAAATGAAAGAAATTCACTTACTCATGCTGTTCCACACTCAAATCCATAACTCTCCAAGTTAAATTTGCTGCATTTGCGTCTGGTGAGCAATGGGGAGGAAGCATGCACGCTTGGCTGCTTTCCCCTAAGTAAAGTCTGAAATGAAACCCTCCCAGAATTGCGTGACAGTGCTCTCTGGACTTTTTTTTTTTTTTCAAGACAAGTGTTAGCGGGCTGTGATTTCAACATGGCTGGAGGTTTAGAGGGCATGTCGAAAAAAACTCACAGTGGATGCCTCTGGCAATCAGAAAAACTCAAACTTGAAATGAAACATACAAGAAATATACATATATAAATATATCTAAGTGAGATGTTTGTGTATGATAATATAATTGTGAAGAAAATGTGATATATATATATATATATATATAAATATATATATATAGGCCTAGATTAAATTATATACTGTAAAATGTCATCATATCTTCTGTTTTATATATTAGTGATCATTTTGTACAGATTTTTCTTTTTTTAATTCATTGAGAGATATTGCATTTCACACTGAGATTATTTATTCATATGCAGAACATTTTTATATTTGTTTAAAATCTCTGTATAGATAAGAGTTAGCCTCTGTAATATACTCTGAAGTTAGTTCATTTTTAAATTCTAAATTTTTCTTTACGAACACCAAGTTAGATTTTATGTAATTTTAATTTGTAAAGAAAACACACACACACAAAAAAAAAGCTTTTCCCTGAAAATACTCGTCCAGCTCGTGTACACCTTTGCCTCTTTATGTGAAAGGTCACTTTAAGATATAAGAGGCTGGACCGGTGCCTGTGTGTTGGGCTTATTTTGCTACTGTTGTTTTATTTTGGGAAGGGTACTTTTTTCTGTAACTGCGATCAGTTTCTGTTTTATTTTTAATTTTGTTTTTTCGTTTCTCCCCATTCTGTGTCGTGATGATTGACCTGGTATTAATGATACTGGAGATGGTCGGAAACAGATGTAGTAACTGTGAGTTTGTGGGCCTGAAAGCGTCATACAAGGCCTTGCTGCTTTGGAAAAAAAAGGAATATTACTTGGCTTTAATTTATCTCTGTGTCATGCTTGGCTGTGAACAGGGATGGCAGGAATGTGGATCCTCAGCGCAGACAGATTCAGGCAGGTGGAAGTTCATTTTTGTTGCTTATATTGCTCCACCTGTTCCTCTGAGTGGCTTTACATAGCAGTTATGCTAAACCATAAATGTAAAAAAAACAGAAAGTTGGATTAATAAGGAAATTATGTGGAGTTTTATGAATTTAACCTTTTATCTTTTCTTTTGCCATTGTATCTTTTTTTTTTAAATATAATGAATCTACATTCTATAGTATGTATATGAGATTTTTACATGAATGTGTGGATGTTCCAAACTCTTGGCATCAAAAGTAGAAAAACAAAATTGACTTGTAAATAGGCCAAGTCATTCCTAGCGAGTTCAACAAATTGTTATGTCCAAAAGAAGATGTTTAAATAATAAACTATGACGATGGGTACAAAGGTATATACAAAACAATGCATGTATAGTCTCAAGCAATCGCACGGTGATTTTAAAAAAAATATGTTGTCTACATGTTTTCTCAGAAATGTGAGAATAAAGCAGAGAAGGATTCTATGTTATAGGTTTACAAACATGAAGGATGAGACATTATTTTGGTATGTGTGACACGGGCATGTTCAGTCTTACTGTGACGTTATGTGACAATGATGATAGTGGCTGAGAGTGCGAAAAGGAGTCAGGAATGCTTGAACGCACCCCAACCAGAGAAGTCACCAGTGATGGTGTCCTCTTTCCACAGAGTAACTCTCCCATTTGTAGAGTAGTGTGATATAAGAACAAAAATAATACAGAAAATAGATCTATGATATAATGATACATAAATTTAAAAGCCTACTGATACTGGAGATACTAATTTATCAGTGTGGATGCCATGATATTCTGTGAGAAATGTGTGTGTTTTTCCTGTGAGAAGACAGCAGGCAGTTGAACCTGCCTTCTTTTGTACATAAGTTGCTGTGATTGTGTGTCAAATAAAGTGCAGCTCTCTTGTACAGTCGTAGTGTCTGATCTTGCTTTAAACTGACTTGTCAGCAAGTGAAGCTTTTTAGCCTTTATTATGACAGGAAAGCTGGGAGAAAGGGAAGACAGGCAACAAATGCCCCTGAGTGGGTTCAGACCAAAGCCTCTGCAATGGTCCTGTGGCATATGGCTTGCCTGCTCAACCTAATATCAAATATTGTATTATATGACAGATCCAGTAATCACAGACCTCTGAGACTATGGTCACAATGGTTAAAAAATGGTTTCTTTTAAAAAGTATTTTTTATTACTGAATGGGTAACAGTATACCAGTAATACAAGTTTAATACAAATCCATTAGAAATACTTAAATGGTTATGTTTTGTAACATTTCAATTAAAGTTTATGGACTGTTTATTATTAAAATATTTCCAACTTTATATTTACAGAGCAAAACGACACTAATATGTCGTTAATACACACTGCCATATGGCTAATTGTAACACAGTTGTATATACAGAATGTTTAAAACTTGTCTTCTGCTTGAATTTTAATGAGTAATTCCAGTTACAATTGTTTAACAAAAGGAAATTTGTAAAGAAAAGAAAAAACTGGCTTAAGTGTCCTGGCGCTGGGCTGGCCGACGACCGTCTGCCCGCCTGTATGGTGAGTTCCTCAGATCTAATGAAAAACAAAGACAGACGTGCATAAACGTGATGGTGGAATTTCCCCTTCATTTAAACATCAAGACTGCAGCAGACAAACTAAAAATGATTCTCAAGCAAGAAGCATGTTACTGTACCTGTGATGATGTCCTCCAGTGCACCGTCCTTCCCCTCGCGTACTGGTGGTTTCACCTGCCTCTTCTTCAGCTCTGCAATCAGGTCCATCTGGGGCATCTTAGGCATCATTGGGCCCTTTAGAAATCACAAAGTTAAAGAATATTTTGAAGTACATTTCTGAATGACTCATATTTTACACTATTTTATTTAATATAGGCTTTAAAAAAAAACCTATAGATGACTGCACACTAGCAGTATGTATAGTTTCTTACCTTTTGTGGTCCAGCCTTGTTTGGAGATGGTGACTCTTTAACCTCACGGCTCTCGCTCTCCATTTTCTTCTTCTGTTCAATCTCTTGCTGTGCCGTCTGCATTCAGACAAGGGACAGAGGATTAAAATATAGCTCACGAGTTATAAACTACAAATATCAGAACGCTACCACAGAAACTCACTTTATAGGCCTTTATGAAGCGCCCAAACATGGGGAAAAACATTGAGGGCTGCGTGGTTTTAGGATTCTCTCCGAAGTACTCCACCACAGAGCCGTAAGCCTCCTGCACGCAGAACAGTAGATGAATATGTTTCAGAATATGATGAGACATTATTTAGAGTTGAGAGCTTGATAAGAACTTCAGACAAACCTGTGCTGTCTTGCTATCTTTGATTAAAGTGTCCAACTGTTCGCTATTTGTTTTAATGAATTCCTTCAACACGGGGCTGTCATCCTGCACCAGGAACTCCTTTTTGGTCATCTCCATTCCTCGCTCTAGAGAGCGGATATCTTGAAGAATGCTGTCAAGAGAGACTGGCAAAGAAACACAAGTGAGTTTAAACTTTTTAGCAAATTAAAAAGAAGGTTGATTGGTCAGCCTGAGTGTGTGCATGTACCAAGGCCTGCCTTGTCTACAAAGTGTAGCTCGGTGTGGAAGTTGACCAGGTCTGGGTATTTTTCCTGGATAATATTGGTGATGAAATGAAGTAACGTCTGTGAGCGGTCAGTGGATTTGGTGTCCAACAACTGAAATATGAAGATGGTGAAAAATGTCATTGAGCTTCCATAAATTGAAAAGCAAACAAAATAAAATAAAAACAAAAACAAAACACTACTTACGAGATCCAGACTCTGCAGTCTGAAACCACAAGCTGCACCTCTTTTACTGCTGTTCATGTAGTTACCGAATGCAAGAACAATCTGAAAGGAAATAAATGGGTTAAGAGAACCAAATGTTACAGTTAGATGCCTCATTAGCATTCATACTGTTTTACTTACCTCTAGGATCTTTTTTAGTTTGGTTGAAGACTTGAGAGACATGGATGCAGAAATGATGGAGTTCAGTTGCTGTGGACGGAGTTTTAAAAAAAAAAGAAGTATGTATGTGAGTAAGTATGTGTTTATAATCCCTTTCAGCCAAAGTTACAAAGCATTTAACAGACTAACCGGCTGCAGCCGTTTGACGCTGTCTGGAAAGTTGCCCATGAAAGTCAGAGTGTTTATTCGCTGGTTGAGGCGAGGAATCTTCCCAAAGCGTAAAATAAATTGGTCTTCGTTGGTCAGCTCATCCAGTGGACGGCCATCTTTCTCATAGTTAGCAAGAAGCTTCATCTCAAAATCTGATGGTATGAATGGTTCGAGCAGTTCCAGGAAGTCTATGGACAAAGATTGCTGGTCGTACCTGTACAAACGAGGGTTAGAGTTAGTGTAGGCAATAAACAGTGTAAGAGGCAGGGTGAAGGAAGGAACAGAATATGCCATTATGGCAAAAACATCTGCTGAAGGTCAATAATGCAAAAGTAAGCACGTACATTTCTATGGCCGTGCAGATATCGGCCGGGCTCATTCCCCCCTTGCGTAGAGTGATGGCCAGATTTTTGGCTTTATTGCCATCAATCAAAGATGTCTTGGTGGGGGCTTTCGAGGTCATCTTCTTCTTAACCTTGGACAGGTCAGCTGGGTTACCCTGGGCCCTAGTTTTGAAATGTTCCTCAAACATTTCCATATTCAACTCCTGAGGTAGACAAAAAAAGAGCCAGGGAGTGTGCTCACATTAGAATTTCATTTTCTTTCAGGATATAATTTCTGCTGTATGTAAAAGATACAGAAAGCATATTCTTACCCCCAAGACTTGCTCATCATCTAGCTCGTTGAAGACTGTGCCTGTCACTTGGTTTGGTTTTAATGCCTGCCAGTTTAACAGAGGCATCCTGAACTTGGTCTGAATAGGCTTCCTGCTCTTAGCCCCTGAGAAAATAGAAAAACAAGAGGAATGGTTAACACTTTTCTTTCATCATGTTTCTTTTTTGGGGGGGGGGTATTCAGGATTCTCCTCACCAGAGTCTGCAGATGGTGCTCCAGGAGGCGGTGGTGGTCCACCACCAGGTGGGGGAGGTGGGGGTGGGGGGCCAGCTCCAGGGGGTGGAGGAGGAGTTGGGGGGCCAGTGCCAGGGAGAGGAGGTGGAGGTGGGGGGGCAGCTGCAGAGCCAGAAAGAGGTGGAGGAGGAGGGGGTGGTGGTGGTGGTGCAGGACCTCCTGGTAGAGATGGAGGTGGTGGAGGTGGAGAGACAGTCTGCTCTGAGCCACCTGGAAGAGGAGGCGGTGGCGGTGGCGAAGGGATGCTAGATGACGGGGGGGCTGGAGTGCTGGCTTGGTTGGCTGGGGCTGGGCTTTGAATGTATTCAACGACTGTGACAGGCATGACTTGGACGTCCAGACCTCCTGAGGCTGTGCGTCCCACTCGGATTAGCCCTTTGTCCTGCAGCTCCTGGATCTTCTGCTCTAGCTCTGAAGGTCCCTGAGGGCCAGTGATACCCAGCCGCTCCCTGTCCTTCTCCCTCTCCCTGTCCAGCTCACGCTCTCTTTCCCTCTGCTGCAAAGTGCTAACCTGGGAGCATGACTCTCGCAGGCTTTCCTACAAGGGACAAGTGCGCAGAGTTGTAGCATGGTCAAGTTTAATTGAATACTTTTGGATTAAACCTTAAAAAGTGGTGACAAAAACATAAACAAAAGACAGTTTGCTATATGGTTTTATGCCATCATATTTTCTTTTGACTTATTCTAAATCCAAATTCAATGATGGGGTTTTTCCAGACATAACTACTGGGCAAAATAAAGTATCAGCCATATACTGCTGTTAAATAAAAAATGATCACCATTTGATACATTTTGTCATCTTCTCCTGTAGCTGTTATTAAGTTGATATTGTAGTTTGAAATAAAGGGGGGAGACCACCTGGTGTTACCATGCTCAGGGTTATGCTCATACCATGGCAAAAAAAAAAGTAATTTCGACATTTATTCAAGTCCTTTTTTTTTTTTTTTTACATGCTTTTAACCTTATTTAAACAACTCTGTGTAAAGATTACATATGTTCCTTGGCTAACTCGAAGGCAGCACTTACTTTGAGCAGCTCAGCCTCCTTTGTGGCTTGCATGAGCTGAGTCTCCAGTTCAGTTATTCTGTCTGCTGTCTGGTTCTCAATCTCCTGAAGCCGTGCACTCAGCTGCAACACCACACAAGCAACACTGCTTCAGCACGATTTCACGTAATGTGCAACAACATTGCCTCCGTGTATTCACTCAGATTCTTCTATGCCAACCTGAACGTTGTGCTCCTGTAATTCGTCCACATGCTCCAGCACCCCTCCTCTGTTCTCAGCATCCTCCAGCAGAGCTCCCACATCTAACACATTGTCCAAGTAGGCCTGGATCTGGACCTGCAGCTTCTCGCTCTCTGTTAGCTTCAGAGTCTAATACACAAAGATACACACTATTGGTACATCATAGGAATAAATTATCACTTACAAAATATCACAGAACATGATTCTGTTTTAATAAAAAAAACATGTAATTTATGAGAATGAAACATGAGGTTTTAAGGCTAAATTTAATATCTTAATGGCAGAAAACAAAATGTCACTATGCCATTTATCTTAATATTAGCACTAATTAAACTTTGTTTGTTTTTTTTAATCAAAGAAAGGAATACATTTCCCTTAACTGTGAAGTGAGGAAGTGAGTGTGTGACAAAAAAGTAGAGTAAAAGTATAAATAGAGTCATTCAGGATGAAGAGGCGACAGCTGAGTAAAAGAGGAAGAAAGTGGGCATTAGAATTGAACATCTGGATACTTGAAGTTGTTAATTTATCAGAAAACTGAATATTTAAGTGCTATATTAAAGTATTTTTCTTTCTCACTATAGGCTTGAAGTTGTCAGAAAGAGACATTATAAATTAAAAGCAAAGAAACCCCCTATG